GAACCTTTTTGGACAAGAGAGCCATGAAAAGCACATATTTTCGATTGCATTCCGTGCGAGCCATATATAATTTCTTCCTTCAATCAGGCCTGAAAATTTTCTTAAAAGTCGACACATTCTGATACTGCATGTTGTCGCTGAGGGCCTTGAACGGTTGCTCACATGCAGCACAAGTTGAAATCTACGATACTCATCAATGTCATCACCCTTCTTATGTTTAGGCATCTCCACAGCATTTTAAATACTAGTTTCGCTAGTCCGATCTAAATAAGACAAATACTGTGTAACCAGTACGTACAAAGGGACGAAAAGCTTTTCTCCATTGCTCCGCGCCCCTATCAATTTTTGATGTCACAATGTGTTCCGGAATTCCCTAGTTTCGTCACAATGCCTGACAGGTAATTCTCTCGCATAACATAGACATTAGACATGCGCTGGGGGCGCGTTCTTGAACTTATTGACAAATTTGGCTATGAAAGAGTTCAAAATATCGTAAAAATAGTAAGCTCAGCCTTAGAATATTAGATTTTTCTGGGAGCCATATGCCGTCACCAAAAGAGCCATATATGGCTCGCGAGCCATGGGTTTACCGACCCCTGGGTTGGGCCATAGTTTTAGCTACAAATACTACGGTTGTCACTTTCCTAGTCCTCGAACTCGTAATAGAACTAAAATAGGGAAAACTGGAACAAAATTATTACCTAACGCTAACCTGGTAGACATACTACGTTCCGGTGTCCGCCATTTTAGTTTCCATACTTCGGAAGTACCAAATATGCAGCCAAGCCAATGCAGCCAAGTGACTCCATTAGTATTTGTACCTGAAATTATGGCCTAACCCTAGCCTGGTACACATACTACGTTCCGGCGTCCGCCATCTCAGTTCACATATTACGGGAGTACCAAAATATTTTCATTGGCCGTTGGCAGTGAATATATATATATTAAAATTACCCATATTGATTCAAATCATAAGTCAATTTATTTCGATACAACTTTTATTTATTGCCTCTCAGATACATTTCAAATAATGTTATACACAATATATTTCCATGCATATTCTGATCTTCAGGCAAAACAGCTGAAATAAAATGAAAAATTCAATAGGTATATATATATGCATTCGGTACCGTGGGCCAAAAATAGAAAGTTTGAAATATAAAATCACCTCATTATTCTTCAAGGATTTTATTCTCCAGCTGTTCCACGAAGCCTGTTGAAAATACAAAATTGAATCAAGTGGTTGTGGAAAGTTTCATTTGAAGTTGGCAAAACATGATATTCAATTCAACAAATGATTATAATTATCAACTGGACTACAATTTTCAGTTTGACTAACAAAAATTTGAACTCGGGCAACAACCCACTCGTAAATTTTGAATGATTTCAATTTCATAGGACGCGGCGGTGTGGCTCATTGTGCTAAGCGTTAAGGATACGCCCGCTACCGCACCTCTAATTACTCTGCGTGGTTTCGCGGGTTCGAATCCCGAATTCTCATATCGCGTTGCTAAACGTTTTTGAAGCTTTCCCCATAAGATCACAAATTTATCTCGGGGGAGAAGAAAGCCGATAAGACGATTTAATCATATGGCGAACCACGGCCTCTCGTCCTGTTACCATTCCAGGTCGGGTATGGGATTAGTTAGCCAGTTATTTGTTTTCGGAATAATGGACTTGATGGTGGAGGAAGCCGTAACCGAACAGCGATTACGTGAACCATAATACGGCGGGGAGGAATTCAGCAATCCTCTCGCACATGATCATCCCCGCATGGGATTCGAACCCATGAAGGGTAATCAGAGCTGCGGTGGCGAGCGTATTCCTGACGCTTAGCACGATGCGCCACACCGTCGATCCATACTCTCTCCTATCCCATACTCTTTTGAAACATGCTGATTTCACTCCTTCACTGCTTTGCGTAACTTCAGCATTAACAAGTCTACTTACCTTCTCCCAATTCTCCTCCTCTCCCTCCTCTGCCCCCTATTCTTTTTTGGCATGAAACCATATCTACAGCTTGCAACAGCACCAGTAATGAAATTACCAACAAGATCAATAGTCGGGCATGAGCACCAAAATCCATATTCCAAGTGTGCGAAATACTAAGTTAATATGCAATAGAACTGAACTATTTATGAAAAACAATATTACAAAAATCATTAGATTTTGTATTTCGCGTAAAAGGTGTTTGCTATGTCAGTGGTTTCATAATCACCACAGCAGCGATGAGCAAAAAAAAACACTTTGGGTACAAGTGGCAAAACTGTTTTCTAACGAAACGCTTTTTATAGCAAGGCTGAAGAATTCCATTTATGTGTTATTGAGTTTCAACAAATAATCTATTCTAGACCAGGGTGGTCCAAGGTTGTCGGCTACGCGGGCAACAAAATTATCTTCGCATTGTTCGCGGATGATAATGAATATGAATAGTTAAACAGTGCAATACAAAAAACACTTTTATTGTGCAAACATATTGATCAGTATCTTTCATTTATAGAGCTAACCCAAGCAAAAACCACCAAAAAATTTACTAAAACCGGCAAACGTCTTCCTATATCTACATATAGTGTAAACAGGGGTCGGGAACCTTTTTGGTCAAGAGAGCCATGAAAAGCACATATTTTCAATTGCATTCCGTGCGAGCCATATATAATTTCTTCCTTCAATCAGGCCTGAAAACTTTTCTTAAAAGTCAACACATTCTGATACTACATGTTGTCGCTGGAGGCCTTGAACGGTTGCTCACATGCAGCACAAGTTGAAATCTACGATACTCATCAATGTCATCACCCTTCTTATGTTTAGGCATCTCTACAGCATTTTAAAACCTAGTTTCGCTAGTCCGATCTAAATATGACAAATACTGTGTAACCAGTACGTACAAACGGACGAAAAGCTTTTCTCCATTGCTCCGCGCCCCTATCGATTTTTGATGTCACAATATGTTCCGGAATTCCCTAGTTTCGTCACAATGCCTGTCAGGTAATTCTCTTGCATAACATAGACATGCGCTGGGCGCGCGTTTTCTAACTTATTGGCAAATTTGGCTATGAAAGAGTTCAAAATATCGTAAAAATAGTAAGCTTAGCCTTAGAATATTAAATTTTTCTGTGAGCCATATGCCGTCACCAAAAGAGCCATATATGGCTCGCGAGCCATGGGTTTACCGACCTCTGGGTTAGGCCATAGTTTTAGATACAAATACTACGGTAGTCACTTTCCTAGTCCTCGAACTCGTAATAGAACTAAAATAGGGAAAATTGGAATAAAATTATTGCCTAACGCTAACCTGGTAGACATACTACGTTCCGCTGTCCGTCATCTTGGTTTCCATACTTCGGGAGTACCAAATATTTTGTATCCATTTTCTGTGTTATTGAGTTTCAACAAACAATCTAGACATTTCATTCATAAAATAAAGTCGAACTAAGCAGGTTGTATATAAAGAATCTTATGTACGTATTTTGTAATCAACAGTGTAACCATATTTCATAGCTCGAGGCGCGTATTCAATTCTAAATTTTATTTTTAGCTTCGCGTCATTTTTTTTTGTAGTAAATTAAAACACTTCGCTGTCGCTGCTCGATAATCAGCTTTGGTTCCCCGCGACTTCCTTTCTCAGTAAAACTGTGTATTTATCATTTTCTCGTAATTTTTCTTCGATTGTTGTTGATTTTACTCGTTAGAAAAAAGAAACCTGACTTCGTAGCTTGAGACACGCCCCATTAATATGGTTTATTAAATTTTAAGCGCCACCATAGAGATTCAAACAAATACATGGTATTTTCAGAAAATTCGGATATCGACCGAACTTTTCGGGAGGCGCGGCGGTGTGGCTCATCGTTCAAGGCTCAAGGTTTTATTAAAGCAGGTCATTTTGTGCGAAAACCATTTGCGCGATTAATCATTTTAGGCCAGTTTAGGAATAGCTGCAAAGGAAGATAAGTTGAAACGATATTAGAACACGGACTCTCTCTTCATAAATGGGGCTGAATATATTGAAGTTCTGAAATTATAAACGTAATATTTGAGAACTCACAATCGATTTTTAAGTAGACCCGTTAAAGAGGTCTCAGTTGACTAGTAATTTTTAGTTTTCTTTTGAAATTTCAACTCTGGTAAACCTCCAGTGTCTGGAAGTTTCTTTTGACAAAACTTGAGTATTTTGAAGAATTCAAAAATACGTCTCATGTTCCAACAAAAATGCAAAAAACCTAAATTCTGAATTTATTTTCCTGCTCAAAAACTAGATGGTATACTTTAAACCGTTGTAACAAAAACAAGCATAGCATACAGTGTAATGTTTCTTCATTTTTCGGATACCTTATTCTTTCTCCTTTTTTTAATCTTGTTTTTCTCTCTCTTTTTAATTTGTTTTCTCGGTAAAATATTTCTCTCATTTTCTCTTTAAGACTTCCAGCTATTTGGCGACAGCCAATGTTCAAATATGTAATTTGAAATAAATTGAAATTTAGTGCTTCGAAGCTACTGTCCTTTACGCTGGCCTTCAACATTATCAGCAAACGAAAACGGTAACCTGTGTTACCAGCTACGCTTCTACAGGTACCGGTACTGTTTCGCTGCCAGTACTGAGTACTTACATCTCAATATTTTACGTAATTTACCAGGTTGTCAGACTTGAACACTCCCACAAGCACACAACTTGTTGATTGAAACTTGAGAAAAAAATGGGTACTCCTGTAGTATGCGAACCAAGATGGCGGACACCGGAACGTAGTATGTGTACCAGGTTAGGCCATTATTTTATTCCGATTTTCCTTATTTTAGTTCTATTAAGAGTTCGGAGACTAGCCAAGTAACTCCATTAGTATTTGTACCTGAAATTATGGCCTATCCCTAGCCTGGTACACATACTACGTTCCGGCGGCCGCCATCTCAGTTCACATATTACGGGAGTACCAAAATATTTTCATTGGCCGTTGGCAGTGAATATATATATATTAAAATTACCCATATTGATTCAAATCATAAGTCAATTTATTTCGATACAACTTTTATTTATTGCCTCTCAGATACATTTCAAATAATGTTATACACAATATATTTCCATGCATATTCTGATCTCCAGGCAAAACAGCTGAAATAAAAAATAATAATTTAATAGGTGTATAGGTATTTGGTCCCGTGGGCCAGAAACAGAAAGTTTGGAATATAAGATCACCTCATTATTCTTCAAGGATTTTAGTCTCCAGCTGTTCCACGAAGCCTGTTGAAAATACAAAATTGAATCAAGAGGTTGTGGAAATTTCCATTTGGAGTTGGCAAAACATGATATTCTCTTCAACCAATGATAATGAAGTGGACTTCAATTTTCTGTTTGACTAACAAAAATTTGAACTCGGGCATCAACCCACTCGTAAATTTTGAATGATTTCAATTTCATAGGACGCGGCGGTGTGGCTCATTGTGCTATGCGTTAGGAATACACCCGTCACCGCACCTCTGATTTCTTTGCGTGGGATCGCATGTTCGAATCCCACGCGGGTATAAATATGTGCGAGATAATTACTGGACTCTTCGCTGTCGTAGGGTGGTACATGTAACCGACGGTCGGTTACGGCTCTCTCCAACATCAAGTCCATGCTTCCGAAAACAAATAACTAACTGAACTCATACCCGACTTGGAATGGTAACCGGACGAGAGGCCGTGGTTCGTCATATGTTTAAGCCGTATTATCTGACTAATATGACTACACATATCTGCCAATTGCAAAACTTCAGCATTAACAACTCGGTGCTTCTCGAGTATGTGTACCAAAATGACGCACAACCTGAACGTAGCATGTGTACCAGGTTATGGTTCAGGTTGTGCGTCATCTTGCTACACATACTTTCGGAGCGCCATTAACTCTACTTGCCTCCTGGTCTTCCTGCTCCTGTTGGTCCTCGTAGACATGCAACCATATCTATAGCTTGCAACAGCATCAGTAATGAAATTACCAGCAAGAGTAATATTCGGGAATGAGAACCAAAATCCATATTCCAAATCTGCGAAATACTAAGTAAATAGTGATGGAATTGAACTATTTACGAAAAACAATATATATAATACTATAAATCAATAATTTTGGTATTCCGCGCAAAAGTTGTTTGCCATGTCAATGGTTTCATACAAAGATCCCACAACCGCAGCGTTTACCGAAAAACACTTTGAGTACACATGGCAAAACTGTTTTCTAACGAAAGGCTTTTTATAGCAAGGCTGAAGAATTCTTTCAGAATGGCAGTTGAATAATTTTGTCTATTATTATTCCAAGATACAACGAATTCTACATTACATGCTTTTATGCTCGATTCCGGGATTACAATACGTAACAAAACAAAATAAACACTGTTTTACCAGCCGTCGCCTAGATAATGCCCCAGTGAATGATCAAAATGGCAACAAAAGTATTTTAACGTGCAAGTTTGCTGTCTTAAGTGATTTATACACAAAATTAAGCGCAAAAGCGCTGAAACAGTCCAACATTTCACGTATTTTACCTAGCATTGATCAGGCTTGAACACTTCTAACAGTTGCGCAATTGTGTACCAGGTTAGGGTTAGGCCATAATTTTGGGTAAAAAAACTACAGGAGTCACTTGTCTAGTCCTCGAACTCGTAATAGAACTAAAATAGGGAAAATTGGAATAAAATTATTGCCTAACGCTAACCTGGTAGACATACTACGTTCCGGTGTCCGCCATCTTGGTTTCCATACTTCGGGAGTACCAAAAATTTTGTATCCATTTTCTGTGTTATTGAGTTTCAACAAATAATCTAGACCAGGGTGGTCCAAGGTTGTCGGCTACGCGGGCCACAAAATTATCTTCGCATTGTTCGCGGGTGATTATGAATATAAATAGTTAAACAGTGCAATACAAAAAACACTTTTATTGTGCAAAACAAAATAAACACTGTTTTACCAGCCGTCGCCTAGATAATGCCTTAGAATATTAGATTTTTTTGGGAGCCATATGCCGTCACCAAAAGAGCCATATATGGCTCGCGAGCCATGGGTTTACCGACCCCTGGGTTAGGCTATAGTTTTAGATACAAATATGCATGCTTGTCACATGCAGCACAAGTTGAAATCTACGATACTCATCAATGTCATCACCCTTCTTATGTTTAGGCATCTCCACAGCATTTTAAAATCTAGTTTCGCTAGTCCGATCTAAATAAGACAAATACTGTGTAACCAGTACGTACAAACGGACGAAAAGCTTTTCTCCATTGCTCCGCGCCCCTATCGATTTTTGATGTCACAATGTGTTCCGGAATTCCCTAGTTTCGTCACAATGCCTGACAGGTAATTCTCTCGCATAACATAGACATTAGACATGCGCTGGGGGCGCGTTCTTGAACTTATTGACAAATTTGGCTATGAAAGAGTTCAAAGTATCGTAAAAATAGTAAGCTCAGCCTCAGAATATTAGATTTTTCTGGGAGCCATATGCCGTCACCAAAAGAGCCATATATGGCTCGCGAGCCATGGGTTTGCCGACCCCTGGGTTAGGCTATAGTTTTAGATACAAATACTACGGTAGTCACTTTCCTAGTCCTCGAACTCGTAATAGAACTAAAATAGGGAAAATTGGGGGCTCCCGAAGTATGCGAACCAAAATGGCGGACATCGGAATGTAATATGTGCACTAGGTTAGGGTTAGGCCATAATTTTAGGTATAAATACTACGGGAGGCTCTTGGCTAGTCTTCGAACTGATAATAGGACTAAAATAAGGAAAATTGGAAAAAAATTATCGCCTAACCCTAACCTGTTACCCATGTTACGTTCCGATGTCCGCCATCTTGGTTCGCATACTTCGGGAGCACCGAAAATTGGAATAAATTTATCGCCTAACGCTAACCTGGTAGACATACTACGTTCCGGTGTCCGCCATGTTAGTAATCGAGTTTCAACAAATAATCTAGACCAGGGTGGTCCAAGGTTGTCGGCTACGCGGGCTACAAAATTATCTTCGAGTTGTTCGCGGGTGATAATGAATATGAATAGTTAAACAGTGCAATACAAAAAACACTTTTATTGTGCAAACATATTGATTAGTATCTGTCATTTACAGAGCTAACCCAAGCAAAAACCACCAAAAATTTTTCTAAAACCTGCAAACGTCTTCCTATATCTACATATAGTGTAAACAGGGGTCGGGAACCTTTTTGGTCAAGAGAGCCATGAAAAGCACATATTTTCGATTGCATTTCCGTGCGAGCCATATGTAATTTCTTCCTTCAATCAGGCCTGAAAATTTTCTCAAAAGTCAACACATTCTGATACTGCATGTTGTCGCTGAGGGCCTTGAACGGTTGCTCACATGCAGCCCAAGTTGAAATCTACGATACTCATCAATGTCATCACCCTTCTTATGTTTAGGCATCTCCACAGCATTTTAAAATCTAGTTTCGCTAGTCCGATCTAAATATGACAAATACTGTGTTACCAGTACGTACAAACGGACGAAAAGCTTTTCTCCATTGCTCCGCGCCCCTATCGATTTTTGATGTCACAATATGTTCCGGAATTCCCTAGTTTCGTCACAATGCCTGTCAGGTAATTCTCTTGCATAACATAGACATGCGCTGTGCGCGCGTTCTTAAACTTATTGGCAAATTTGGCTATGAAAGAGTTCAAAATATCGTAAAAATAGTAAGCTTAGCCCTAGAATATTAGATTTTTCTGGGAGCCATATGCCGTCACCAAAAGAGCCATATATGGCTCGCGAGCCATGGGTTTACCGACCCCTGGGTTAGGCCATAGTTTTAGCTACAAATACTACGGTTGTCACTTGTATAGTCCTCGAACTCGTAATAGAACTAAAATAGGGAAAATTGGAATAAAATTATTGCCTAACGCTAACCCGAAGTATGCGAACCAAGATGGCGGACATCGGAATGTAATATGTGCACTAGGTTAGGTTTAGGCCATAATTTTAGGTATAAATACTACGGGAGGCTCTTGGCTAGTCTTCGAACTGATAATAGGACTAAAATAAGGAAAATTGGAAAAAAATTATCGCCTAACCCTAACCTGTTACCCATGTTACGTTCCGATGTCCGCCATCTTGGTTCGCATACTTCGAGAGCACCGAAAATTGTAATAAATTTATTGCCTAACGCTAGCCTGGTAGACATACTACGTTCCGGTGTCCGCCATTTTGGTTACCATATTTCGGGAGTACCAAATATTTTGTATCCATTTTCTGTGTTATTGAGTTTCAACAAACAATCTAGACATTTCATTCATAAAATAAAGTCGAACTAAGCAGGTTCTATATAAAGAATCTTATGTGCGTATTTTGTAATCAACAGTGTAACCATATTTCATAGCTCGAGGCGTGTATTCAATTCTAAATTTTATTTTTGGCTTCCCGTCATTTTTGTTTTTCTTCGTAGTAAATTGAAATACTTCGCTGTCGCTGCTCGATAACCAGCTTTGGTTTCCCGCGACTTCCTTTCCTCAGTAAAACTGTGTATTTATCATTTTCTCGTAATTTTTCTTCGATTGTTGTTGATTTTACTCGTTGGAAAAATAAACCTCACTTGACTTCGTAGCTTGAGACACGCTCCATTAATAGGGTTTATTAAATTTTAAGCGCCGCCTTAGAGCTTCAAACAAACACACGGTATTTTCAGAAAATTCAGATATCAACCCAATTTTTCGGGAGGCGCGACGGTGTGGCTCAACGTTCAAGGCTCAAGGTTTTATGAAAGCAGGTCATTTTGTGCAAAAACCATTTGCGCGATATAATAATTTTAGGCCAGTTTAGGAATAGCTGCAAAGGAAGATAAGTTGAAACGATATTATAACACGGACTCTCTTTTTATAAATAGGGCTGAATATATAGGAGTTCTGAAATTCTAAACGTAATATTTGAGAACTCACAATCGATTTTTAAGTAGACCCGTTAAAGAGGTCTCAGTTGACTAGTAATTTTTAGTTTTCTTTTGAGATTTCAACTCTGGTCAACCTCCAGTGTCTGGAAGTTTCTTTTGACAAAACTTAAGTATTTTGAAGAATTCAAAAATACGTCTCATGGTCCAACAAAAATGCAAAAGTCCTAAATGCTGAATTCATTTTCCTGCTCAAAAGCTAGTTCGTATACTTTAAACCGTCGTAACGAAAACAAGCATAGCATATATTGTAATTAATGTTTCTTCATTTTTCGGATATCTTATTCTCTCTCCTTTTTTTTCAATTTTGTTTTTCTCTCTCTTTTTATTTTGTTTTCTCGGTAAAAAATTTCTCTCATTTTCCTTTTAAGACTTCCAGCTATTAGGCGACACCCGATGTTCAAATATGTAATTTGAAATAAATTGAAATTTTAGTGCTTCGAATCTACTGTCCTTTACGATGGCCTTCAACATTATCAGCAAACAAAAACGGTAACCTGTGTTACCGGCTACGCTTCTACAGGTACCGGTACTGTTTCGCTGCCAGTACTGAGTACGTACATCTCAATATTCTACGTAATTTATCAGGTTGTCAGACTTGAACACCCCCACAAGCACACAACTTGTTGATTGAAACTTGAGAAAAAAAATGGGTACTCTTGTAGTATGCGAACCAAGATGGCGGACACCGGAACGTAGTATGTGTACCAGGTTAGGCCATTATTTTATTCCGATTTTCCTTATTTTAGTTCTATTGCGAGTTCGGAGACTAGCCAAGTGACTCCATTAGTATTTGTACCTGAAATTATGGCCTAACCCTAGCCTGGTACACATACTACGTTCCGGCGTCCGCCATCTCAGTTCACATATTACGGGAGTACCAAAATATTTTCAGTGGCCGTTGGCAGTGAATATATATATATTAAAATTACCCATATTGATTCAAATCATAAGTCCATTTATTTCGATACAATTTTTATTTATTGCCTCTCAGATACATTTCAAATAATGTTATACACAATATATTTCCATGCATAGTCTGAACTTCAAGCAAAACAGCTGAAATAAAAAAAAAATAATTTAATAGGTATATATGTATTTGGTCCCGTGGGCCAGAAATAGAAAGTTTGGAATATAAGGTCACCTCATTATTCTTCAAGGATTTTATTCTCCAGCTGTTCCACGAAGCCTGTTGAAAATACAAAATTGAATCAAGAGTTTGTGGAAAGTTTCATTTGAAGTTGGCAAAAACATGATATTCAATTCACCCAATGATAATGAAGTGGACTTCAATTTTCTGTTAGACCAACAAAATTTTGAACTCGGGCAACAACCCACTCATAAATTTTGAATGATTTCAGTTTCATTGGGCGAGGCGGTGTGGCTCATCGTGCTAAGCGTTAGGAATGCGCTCGCCACCGCACCTCTAATTACTCTGCGTGGGTTCACATCCCATGCGAGGATAGTTATGTGCGAGAGGATTGCTGTACTCGTCGCCGCCGTAGGGTGGTTCCCGTAACCGCAGGTCGGTTACGGCTCCTCTATCATCAAGTCCATGCTTCCGAAAACAAATAAATTCCATACCAGACATAGAATGGTAACCGGACGAGAGGCCGTGGTTCGCCATATGGTTAAGCCGTCCTATCAGCTTTCAACTTTCCTTTCTCCCGGGATAAATAGGTAAATCCTACCCTTCTATCCTATATTTTATATATTTTTTATGTCGCTTTGCCGAAACGTTTTTCAAGCTTTCGCCATAGGATTTACCTATTTATCCGGGTGATGGGAAAGCCGATGAGACGGCTTAATCATATGGCAAACCACGGCCTCCCGTCCGGTTACCAGTCCAGGTCGGTAATGGGATCAGATAGCCAGTTATTTGTTTTCGGAAGCATGGACTTGATGGTCGAGGAAGCCGTAACCGACCAGCGGTCACGTGAACCACCCTACGGCGGCGAGGAGTACAGGAGGAGTACAGTTCTACTTCGCCTTAGAGCTTCAAACAAACACACGATATTTTCAGAAAATTCAGATATCAACCCAATTTTTCGGGAGGCGCGGCGGTGTGGCTCAACGTTTTATGAAAGCAGGTCATTTTGTGCGAAAACCGTTTGCGCGTATAATATTTTTAGGTCAGTTTTAAAATATATGGTGAAAATCAACTGCTCGCACAGGTACCAGTTGGAGTCTCGTATAGGAATAGCTGCAAAGGAAGATAAGTTGAAACGATATTAGAACACGGACTCTCTCTTTATAAATGGGGCTGAATATATAGAAGTTCTGAAATTCTAAACGTAATAATAGGCCTATTTCAGAACTCACAATCGATTTTTAAGTAGACCTAGTAATTTTTAGTTCTCGTTTGAGATTTCAACTCTGGTTAACCTCCAGTGTCTGGAAGTTTCTTTTGACAAAACTCAAGTATTTTGAAGAATTAAAAAATACGTCTCATGATCCAACAAAAATGCAAAAACCCTAAATTCTGAATTTATTTACCTGCTTTAAAGCTAGTTCTTATACGTTGAACCGTCGTTTCAAAAACAAGCATAGCATACAGTGTAATGTTTCTTCATTTTTCGGATACCTTATTCTTTCTCCTTTTTTTATTCTTGTTTTTCTCTCTCTTTTTATTTTGTTTTCTCGGTAAAATATTTTTCTCATTTTCCTTTTAAGACTTCCAGCTATTAGGCGACAACCGATGTTCAAATATGTAATTTGAAATAAATTGAAATGTTAGTGTTTCGAAACTACTGTCCTTTACGCTGGCTTTCAACATTATCAGCAAACAAAAACGGTAACCTGTGTTACCGGCTACGCTTTACAGGTACCGGTACTCTTTCGCTGCCAGTACTGAGTACGTACATCTCAATATTTTACGTAATTTACCAGGTTGTCAGACTTGAACACTCCCACAAGCACACAACTTGTTGATTGAAACTTGAGAAAAAAAATGGGTATTCCTGTAGTATGCGAACCAAGATGGCGGACACCGAAACGTAGTATGTGTACCAGGTTAGGCCATTATTTTATTCCAATTTTTCCTATTTTAGTTCTATTGCGAGTTCGGAGGCTAGCCAAGTGACTCCATTAGTATTTGTACCTGAAATTATGGCCTAACCCTAGCCTGGTACACATACTACGTTCCGGCGTCCGCCATCTCAGTTCACATATTACGGGAGTACCAAACATTTCCATTGGCCGTTGGCAGTGAATATATATATATATTAAAATTACCCATATTGTTTCAAATCATAAGCACATTTATTTCGATACAACTTTTATTTATTGCCTCTCAGATACATTTAAAATAATGTTATACACAATATATTTCCATGCATATTCTGATCTTCAGGCAAAACAGCTGAAATAAAATAAAAAATTCAATAGGTATATATATATGCATTCGGTACCGTGGGCCAAAAATAGAAAGTTTGAAATATAAAATCACCTCATTATTCTTCAAGGATTTTATTCTCCAGCTGTTCCACGAAGCCTGTTGAAAATACAAAATTAAATCAAGAGGTTGTGGAAAGTTTCATTTGAAGTTGGCAAAACATGATATTCAATTCAACAAATGATTATAATTATCAACTGGACTACAATTTTCTGTTTGACTAACAAAAATTTGAACTCGGCCAACAACCCACTCGTAAATTTTGAATGATTTCAATTTCATAGGACGCGGCGGTGTGGCTCATTGTGCTAAGCGTTAGGAATACGCTCGCTACCGCACCTCTAATTACTCTGCGTGGTTTCGCGGGTTCGAATCCCGAATTCTTATATCGCGTTGCTGAAACGTTTTTGAAGTTTTCCCTATAGGATTTACATATTTATCCCGGGGGAGAGGAAAGCCGATAGGACGGCTTAATCATATGGCGAACCACGGCCTCTCGTCCGGTTACCATTCCAGGTCGGGTATGGGATTAGTTAGCCAGTTATTTGTTTTCGGAATAATGGACTTGGTGGTGGAGGAAGCCGTAACCGACCAGCGATTACGTGAACCATAATACGGCGGCGAGGAGTTCAGCAATCCTCTCGCACATGATCATCCCCGCATGGGATTCGAACCCATGAAGGGTAATAAGAGCTGCGGTGGCGAGCGTACTCCTGACGTTTAGCACGATGCGCCACACCGTCGAGCCATACTCTCTCCTATCCCATACTCTTTTAAAACATGCTGATTTCACTCCTTCGCTGCTTTGCGTAACTTCAGCATTAACAAGTCTACTTACCTTCTCCAAATTCTCCTCCTCTCCCTCCTCTGCCCCCTATTCTTTTTTGGCATGAAACCATATCTACAGCTTGCAACAGCACCAGTAATGAAATTACCAACAAGATCAATAGTCGGGCATGAGCCCCAAAATCCATATTCCAAGCGTGCGAAATACTAAGTTAATATGCAATAGAACTGAACTATTTATAAAAAACAATATTACAAAAATCATTAGATTTGGTATTTCGCGTAAAAGATGTTTGCTATGTCAATGGTTTCATACTCACCACAGCAGCGATGAGCAAAAAAACACTTTGGGTACAAGTGACAAAACTGTTTTCTAACGAAAGGCTTTTTATAGCAAAGCTGAAGAATTCTTTCAGAAGGGCAGATAAATAATTTTGTCCATTGGTATTCCAAGATACAACGAATTCTACATTACATGCTTTTATGCTCGATTCCGGGATTACAAAACGTAACAAAACAAAATAAACACTGTTTTACCAGTCGTCGCCTAGATAATGCCCCAGTGAAAGATCAAAATGGCATCAAAAGTATTTCAACCTGCAAGTTTGCCATCTTAAGTGATTTATACACAAAATTAGGCACAAAAGCGCTGAAACAGTCTAACATTTCACCTAGCATTTGATCAGGCTTGAACACTTCTAACAGTTGCGCAATTGTGTACCAGGTTAGGGTTAGGTCATTGTTTTATGTACAAATACTACGGGAGTCACTTGTCTAGTCCTCGAACTCGTAATAGAACTAAAATAGGGAAAACTGGAACAAAATTATTGCCTAACGCTAACCTGGTAGACATACTACGTTCCGGTGTCCGCCATTTTGGTTTCCATACTTCGGAAGTACCAAATATTTTGTATCCATTTTCTGTGTTATTGAGTTTCAACAAACAATCTAGACATTTCATTCATAAAATAAAGTCGAACTAAGCAGGTTCTATATAAAGAATCTCATGTACGTTTCTTGTAATCAACAGTGTAACCATATTTCATAGCTCGAGGCGCGTATTCAATTCTAAATTTTATTTTTAGCTTGGCGTCATTTTTGTTTTTCTTCGTAGTAAATTAAAACACTTTGCTGTCGCTGCTCGATAACCAGCTTTGGTTCCCCGCGACTTCCTTCCTCAGTAAAACTGTGTATTTATCATTTTCTCGTTATTTTTCTTCGATTGTTGTTGATTTTACTCGTTGGAAAAATAAACCTCACTTGACTTCGTAGCTTGAGACACGCCCCATTAATATGGTTTATTAAATTTTAAGCGCCACCATAGAGCTTCAAACAAATACATGATACAGTCTGGAAATTTCTTTTGACCAAACTTGAGTATTTTAAAGAATTCAAAAATACGTCTCATGTTCCAACAAAAATGCAAAAACCCTAAATTCTGAATTTATTTTCCTGTTTAAAAAAGCTAGTTCGTATACTTTAAACCGTCGTAACAAAAACAAGCATAGCATACAGTGTAATGTTTCTTCATTTTTCTGATACCTTATTCTCTCTTTCTATTTTGTTTTCTCGGTAAAATATTTCTCTCATTTTCCTTTTACGACTTCCAGCTATTAGGCGACACCCGATGTTCAAATGTGTAATTTGAAATAAATTGAAATGTTAGTGTTTCGAAACTACTGTCCTTTACGCTGGCTTTCAACATTATCAGCAAACGAAAACGGTAACCTTTGTTACCGGCTACGCTTCTACAGGTACCGATACTGTTTCGCTGCCAGTACTGAGTACTTACATCTCAATATTTTACGTAATTTACCAGGTTGTCAGACTTGAACACCCCCACGAGCACACAACGTGTTGATTGGAACTTGAGAAAACAATAGGTACTCCTGTAGTATGCGAACCAAGATAGCGGACATCGGAACGTAGTATGTGTACCAGGTTAGGCCATTATTTTATTCCGATTTTCCTTATTTTAGTTCTACTAAGAGTTTGGAGACTAGCCAAGTGACTCCATTAGTATTTGTACCTGAAATTATGGCCTATCCCTAGTCTGGTACACATACTACGAGAGTACCAATTATTTTAATTGGCCGTTGGAGGTGTATATATATATTGAAACTACCCAAATTGATTCAAATCATAAGCACATTTATTTAATACAACTTTTATTTATTGCCTCTCAGATACATTTAAAATAATGTTATACGCAATATATTTCCATGCATATTCTGATCTTCAGGCAAAACAGCTGAAATGAAATAAAAAATTTAATAGGTATATATATATGCATTCGGTACCGTGGGCCAAAAATAGAAAGTTTGAAATATAAAATCACCTCATTATTCTTCGAGGATTTTATCCTCCAACTGTTCCACAAAGCCTGTTCAAAATACAAAATTGAATCAAGAGAATGTGGAAAGTTTCATTTGGAGTTTGCAAAACATGATATTCACTTCAACGAATGATATTCAAGTGGACTTCACTTTTCTGTTTGACCAACAAAAATTTGAACTCGGGCAGCAACCCACTCGTAAATTTTCGAATCCCATCCAGGAATGCTTATGTGCGAGATGACTGCTGGACTCTTCGGTTCACGTAACCGCTGGTCGGTTACGGCTCCCTCCACAATCAAGGCCATGCTTCCGAAAACAGATAACTAACTAATCCAATACCCAACATCAAATGGTAACCCGACGAAAGGTCGTGGTTCGCCATGTGGTAAAGCCGTATTATCGGCTTTCTTCTTCCCTCAGATAAATATATATATAAACCCTATACTATCCAGTGATTAGCTGGAAAAACCGTAACAACCGGAACGTACAACACGACGCGGACGTTAACAGAAATTTTTCTCTGTTCTAAGATAAAGCCGGAGAACTGCAATGAAATATGAATAAATTATTTAAAATATGTCTGTGATGTTAAAAGAATTACGAATTATGATGTAACAAAACGTAAATTAATAATAATTAAGTTTACCAAAATAATTAGACTTTTTGTACCATAATTTTATTTTCACAACAGGAATGCAAATGCACTAAAATGTTCAACAATTGGAACGCCGTTCCGTTTTGTTCCGGCTACAGCTCACCACTGCTTCTATCTTATATTTCATACCTTCTCCTATTCCTCCTGCCCCTCCTCCTCCGCCTCGGCATGCAACCATATCGACAGCTCGCAACAGAATCAGTAATGAAATAACCAGCAAGGTCAATAGTCGGGCATTAGCACCAAAATTCATATTCCAAGTCTGCGAAATACTAAGTTAATATGTGATGAAATTGAACTATTTATGAAAAACAATATAATACAAAAAATCAGAAAATTTGGTATTTCGCGTAAAAGGTGTTTGCTATGTCAATGGTTTCATACAAATATCACTCCACCGCAACGTTGAGCGAAAAACACTGAGGCAAGGAGCAACAATGAAGAAATTTAAATAATTTTGTCTATTATTATTCCAAGATACAACGAATTCTACATTACATGCTTTTATGCTTCGATTCCGGGATTACAATACGTAACAAAACAAAATAAACACTGTTTTACCAGCCGTCGCCTAGATAATGCCCCAGTGAAAGATCAAAATGGCAACAAAAGTATTTCAACGTGCAAGTTTGCTGTCTTAAGTGATTTATACACAGAATTAAGCGCTAAAGCGCCGAAACAGTCCAACATTTCACGTATTTTACCTAGCATTGATCAGGCTTGAACACTTCTAACAGTTGCGCAATCGTATACCAGGTTAGGCCATAGTTTTTAGGTACAAATACTACTTTAGTCACTTGTCTAGTCCTCGAACTCGTAATAGAACTAAAATAGGGAAAACCGGAACAAAATTATTGCCTAACGCTAACCTGGTAGAAATAATACGTTCCGGTGCCCGGCATCTTGGTTCCCATACTTCAGGAGTACCAAATATTTTGTATCCATTTTCTGTGTTATTGAGTTTCAACAAACAATCTAGATTCTAGACATTTCATTCATAAAATAAAGTCGAACTAAGCGGGTTGTATATAAATAATCTTATGTACGTTTTTTGTAATCAACAGTGTAACCATATTTCATAGCTCGAGGCGTGTATTCAATTCTAAATTTTATTTTTTGATTCGCGTCATTTTTGTTTTTCTTCGTAGTAAATTGAAATCCTTCGCTGTCGCTGTTCGATAACCAGCTTTGGTTCCCCGCGACTTCCTTTCTCAGTAAAACTGTGTATTTATCATTTTCTCGTAATTTTTCTTCGACTGTTGTTGATTTTACTCGTTGGGAAAATAAACCTTACTTGACTTCGTAGCTTGAGACACGCGCCATTAATATGATTTATGAAATTTTAAGCGCCACCATAGAGCTTCAAACAAACATACGGTCTTTTCAGAAAATTCAGATATCAACCCAATTTTTCGGGAGGCGCGGCGGTGTGGCTCATCGTTCAAGGCTCAAGGTTTTATGAAAGCAGGTCATTTTGTGCGAAAACCATTTGCGCGATATAATCATTTTAGGCCAGTTTAGGAATAGCTGCAAAGGAAGATAAGTTGAAACGATATCAGAACACGGACTCTCTCTTTATAAATGGTGCTGAATATATAGAAGTTCTGAAATTCTAAACGTAATATTTGAGAACTCACAATCGATTTTTAAGTAGACCCGTTAAAGAGGTCTCAGTTGACTAGTAATTTTTAGTTTTCTTTTGAGATTTCAACTCTGGTCCACCTCCAGTGTCTGGAAGTTTCTTTTGGCAAAACTTAAGTATTTTGAAGAATTCAAAAATACGTCTCATGTTCCAACAAAAATGCAAAAACCATAAATTCTGAATTTATTTTCCTGTTTAAAAAAGCTAGTTCGTATACTTTAAACCGTCGTAACAAAAACAAGCATAGCGTACAGTGTAATATTTCTTCATTTTTCTGATACCTTATTCTCTCTCCTTTTTTTTCAATTTTGTTTTTCTCTCTCTTTTTATTCTGTTTTCTCGGTAAAATATTTCTCTCATTTTCCTTTCAAGATTCCAGCTATTTGGCGACACTCAATGTTCAAATATGTAATTTGAAATAAATTGAAATGTTAGTGTTTCGAATCTACTGGCTTTTTACGCTGGCTTTCAACATTATCAGCAAACGAAAACGGTAACCTGTGTTACCGTCTACGCTTCTACAGGTACCGGTACGGTTTCGCTGCCAGTACTGAGTACGTACATCTTAATATTTTACGTAATTCACCAGGTTGTGAACGCTTCCCACAAGCGCACAACTTGTTGATTGAAACTTGAGAAAAAAATTGGGTACTCCTGTAGTATGCGAACCAAGATGGCGGACACCGAAACGTAGTATGTGTACCAGGTTAGGCCATTATTTTATTCCAATTTTCCTTATTTTAGTTCTAGAGTTCGGGGACTAGCCAAGTGACTTCGCGTCATTTTTGTTTTTCTTCGTAGTAAATTAAAACACTTCGCTGTCGCTGCTCGATAACCAGCTTTGGTTCCCGCGACTTCCTTTCTCAGTAAAACTGTGTATTTATCATTTTCTCGTAATTTTTCTTCAATTGTTGTTGATTTTACTCGTTTGGAAAATAAACCTTACTTGACTTCGTAGCTTGAGACACGCCCGCTTAATATGATTTATTAAATTTTAAGCGCCGCCATAGAGATTCAAACAAATAAATACATGGTATTTTCAGAAAATTCAGATATCAACCGAACTTTTCGGGAGGCGCGGCGGTGTGGCTCATCGTTCAACGCTCAAGGTTTTATGAAAGCAGGTCATTTTGTGCGAAAACCATTTGCGCGATATAATCATTATAGGCCAGTTTAGGAATAGCTGCAAAGGAAGATAAGTTGAAACGATATTAGAACACGGACTCTCTCTCTCTCTCTTTATAAATGGGGCTGAATATATAGAAGTTCTGAAATTCTAAACGTAATATTTGAGAACTCACAATCGATTTTTAAGTAGACCCGTTAAAGAGGTCTCAGTTGACTAGTAATTTTTAGTTTTCTTTTGAGATTTCAACTCTGGTCAACCTCCAGTGTCTGGAAGTTTCTTTTGGCGAAACTTAAGTATTTTGAAGAATTCAAAAATACGTCTCATGTTCCAACAAAAATGCAAAAACCATAAATTCTGAATTTATTTTCCTGTTTAAAAAAGCTAGTTCGTATACTTTAAACCGTCGTAACAAAAACAAGCATAGCGTACAGTGTAATATTTCTTCATTTTTCTGATACCTTATTCTCTCTCCTTTTTTTTCAATTTTGTTTTTCTCTCTCTTTTTATTTTGTTTTCTCGGTAAAATATTTCTCTCATTTTCCTTTTGAGACTTCCAGCTATTAGGCGACACCCAATGTTCAAATATGTAATTTGAAATAAATTGAAATGTTAGTGTTTCGAATCTACTGGCTTTTTACGCTGGCTTTCAACATTATCAGCAAACGAAAACGGTAACCTGTGTTACCGTCTACGCTTCTACAGGTACCGGTACGGTTTCGCTGCCAGTACTGAGTACGTACATCTCAATATTTTACGTAATTCACCAGGTTGTGAACGCTTCCCACAAGCGCACAACTTGTTGATTGAAACTTGAGAAAAAAATGGGTACTCCTGTAGTATGCGAACCAAGATGGCGGACACCGAAACGTAGTATGTGTACCAGGTTAGGCCATTATTTTATTCCGATTTTCCTTATTTTAGTTCTATTAAGAGTTCGGAGACTAGCCAAGTGACTCCATTAGTATTTGTACCTGAAATTATGGCCTATCCCTAGCCTGGTACACATACTACGAGAGTACCAATTATTTTAATTGGTCGTTGGAGGTGTATATATATATTGAAACTACCCATATTGATTCAAATCATAAAGACATTTATTTAATACAACTTTTATTTATTGCCTCTCAGATACATTTCAAATAATGTTATACACAATATATTTCCATGCATATTCTGATCTTCAGGCAAAACAGCTGAAATGAAATAAAAAATTTAATAGGTATATATATATGCATTCGGTACCGTGGGCCAAAAATAGAAAGTTTGAAATATAAAATCACCTCATTATTCTTCGAGGATTTTATCCTCCAACTGTTCCACAAAGCCTGTTGAAAATACAAAATTGAATCAAGAGATTGTGGAAAGTTTCATTTGGAGTTTGCAAAACATGATATTCACTTCAACGAATGATATTCAAGTGGACTTCACTTTTCTGTTTGACCAACAAAAATTTGAACTCGGGCAGCAACCCACTCGTAAAATTTCGAATCCCATGCAGGAATGCTTATGTGCGAGATGATTGCTGGACTCTTCGGTTCACGTAACCGCTGGTCGGTTACGGCTCCCTCCACAATCAAGGCCATGCTTCCGAAAACAGATAACTAACTAATCCCATACCCGACATCAAATGGTAACCCGACGAAAGGTCGTGGTTCGCCATGTGGTCAAGCCGTATTATCGGCTTTCTTCTCCTCTGAGATAAATATATAAACCCTATACTTCTATCCAGAGATGAGCTGGAAAAACCGTAACAACCGGATCGCACAACACGACGCGGACGTTAACAGAAATTTTTCTCTGTTCTAAGATAAAGCCGGAGAACTGCAATGAAATATGAATAAATTATTTAAAATATGTCTGTGATGTTAAAAGAATTACGAATTATGATGTAACAAAACGTAAATTAATAATTAGGTTCACCAAATGAAATTAGACTTTTTGTACCATAATTTTATTTCCACAACAGGAATGCAAATGCACTAAAATGTTCAACAACTGGAACGCCGTTCCGTTTTGTTCCGGCTACAGCTCACCACTGCTTCTATCTTATATTTCATACCTTCTCCTATTCCTCCTGCCCCTCCTCCTCCGCCTTGGCATGCAACCATATCGACAGCTCGCAACAGTAATGATATAACCAGCAAGGTCAATATTCGGGCATTAGCACCAAAATTCATATTCCAAGTCTGCGAAATACTAAGTTAATATGTGATGAAATTGAACTATTTATGAAAAACAATATAATACAAAAAATCATGAAAATTTGGTAATTTGCGTAAAAAGGTGTCTTAAGTGATCGCTGTCTTAAGTGATTTATACACAAAATCAAGCGCAAAAGCGCTGAAATAGTCCAACATTTCACGTATTTTACCTAGCATTGATCAGGCTTGAACACTTCTAACAGTCGCGCAATTGTGTACCAGATTAGGGTTAGGCCATAATTTCAGGTACAAATACTACTTTAGTCACTTGTCTAATCCTCGAACTCGTAATAGAACTAAAATAGGGAAAACTGGAATAAAATTATTGCCTAACGCTAACCTGGTAGACATACTACGTTCCGGTGTCCGCCATCTTGGTTTCCATACTTCGGGAGTACCAAAAATTTTGTATCCATTTTCTGTGTTATTGAGTTTCAACAAATAATCTAGACCAGGGTGGCCCAAGGTTGTCGGCTACGCGGGCCACAAAATTATCTTCGCATTGTTCGCGGGTGATAATGAATATGAATAGTTAAACAGTGCAATACAAAAAACACTTTTATTGTGCAAACATATTGATCAGTATCTGTCATTTATAGAGCTAACCCAAACAAAAACCACCAAAAAATTTACTAAAACCTGCAAACGTCTTCCTATATCTACATATAGTGTAAACAGGGGTGGGGAACCTTTTTGGTCAAGAGAGCCATGAAAAGCACATATTTTCGATTGCATTTCCGTGCGAGCCATATATAATTTCTTTCTTCAATCAGGCCTGAAAATTTTCTCAAAAGTCAACACATTCTGATACTGCATGTTGTCGCTGAGGGCCTTGAACGGTTGCTCACATGCAGCACAAGTTGAAATCTACGATACTCATCAATCTCATCACCCTTCTTATGTTCAGGCATCTCCACAGCATTTTAAAATCTAGTTTCGCTAGTCCGATCTAAATATGACAAATACTGTGTAACCAGTACGTACAAACGGACGAAAAGCTTTTCTCCATTGCTCCGCGCCCCTATCGATTTTTGATGTCACAATATGTTCCGGAATTCCCTAGTTTCGTCACAATGCCTGACAGGTAATTCTCTTGCATAACATAGACATGCGCTGGGGACGTGTTCTTAAACTTATTGACAAATTTGGCTAAGAAAGAGTTCAAAATATCGTAAAAATAGTAAGCTTAGCCTTAGAATTTTCTGGGAGCCATATGTCGTCACCAAAAGAGCCATATATGGCTCGCGAGCCATGGGTTTACCGACCTCTGGGTTAGGCCATAGTTTTAGATACAAATACTACGGTAGTCACTTGTCTAGTCCTCGAACTCGTAATAGAACTAAAATAGGGAAAATTGGAATAAAATTATTGCCTAACGCTAACCTGGTAGACATACTACGTTCCGGTGTCCGCCATTTTGGTTTCCATACTTCGGGAGTACCAAATATTTTGTATCCATTTTCTGTGTTATTGAGTTTCAACAAACAATCTAGACATTTCATTCATAAAATAAAGTCGAACTAAGCAGGTTCTATATAAATAATCTTATGTACGTATTTTGTAATCAACAGTGTAACCATATTTCATAGCTTGAGGCGTGTATTCAATTCTAAATTTTATTTTTGGCCTTTTAAGACTTCCAGCTATTAGGCGACACCCGATGTTCAAATATGTAATTTAAAAATAAAATGAAATGTTAGTGTATTTTGAATTTACTGTCCTTTACGCTGGCCTTCAACATTATCAGCAAACGAAAACGGTAACCTGTGTTACCGGCTACGCTTCTACAGGTACCGGTACGGTTTCGCTGCCAGTACTGATTTCGTACATCTCAATATTCTACGTAATTTACCAGATTGTCAGACTTGAAAACTCCCCACAAGCATACAACTTGTTGATTTAAACTTGAGAAAAAAAATGGGTACTCCTGTAGTATGCGAACCAAGATGGCGGACACCGAAACGTAGTATGTGTACCAGGTTAGGCCATTATTTTATTCCAATTTTCCTTATTCTAGTTCTATTGCGAGTTCGGAGACTAGCCAAGTGACTCCATTAGTATTTGTACCTGAAATTATGGCCTAACCCTAGCCTGGTACACATACTATGTTCCGGCGTCCGCCATCTCAGTTTACATATTACGGGAGTACCAAAATATTTTCATTGGCCGTTGGCAGTGAATATATTTATATATTAAAATTACCCATATTGATTCAAATCATAAGTCAATTTATTTCGATACAACTTTTATTCATTGCCTCTCAGATACATTTGAAATACTGTTATACACAATATATTTCCATGCATAGTCTGATCTTCAGGCAAAACAGCTGAAATAAAAAAAAATAATTTAATAGGTATATAGGTATTTGGTCCCGTGGGCCAGAAATAGAAAGTTTAAAATATAAGGTCACCTCATTATTCTTCAGGGATTTTATTCTCCAGCTGTTCCACGAAGCCTGTTGAAAATACAAAATTGAATCAAGAGGTTGTGGAAAGTTTCATTTGGAGTTGGAAAAACACGATATTCACTTCAACGAATGATATTCAAGTGAACTTCACTTTTCTGTTTGACCAACAAAAATTTGAACTCGGGCAGCAACCCACTCGTAAAATTTCGAATCCCATGCAGGAATGCTCATGTGCGAGATGATTGCTGGACTCTTCGGTTCACGTAACCGCTGGTCGGTTACGGCTCCCTCCACCATCAAGGCCATGCGTCCGAAAACAGATAACTAACTAATCCCATACCCGACATCAAATGGTAACCCGACGAAAGGTCGTGGTTCGCCATGTGGTCAAGCCGTATTATCGGCTTTCTTCTTCCCTCAGATAAACATATATATAAACCCTATACTATCCAGTGATAAGCTGGAAAAACCGTAACAACCGGAACGTACAACACGACGCGGACGTTAACAGAAATTTTTCTCTGTTCTAAGATAAAGCCGGAGAACTGCAATGAAATATGAATAAATTATTTAAAATATGTCTGTGATGTTAAAACAATTACGAATTATGATGTAACAAAACGTAAATTAATAATTAGGTTTACCAAATGAAATTAGACTTTTTGTACCATAATTTTATTTCCACAACAGGAACGCAAATGCACCAAAATGTTCAAAAACTGGAACGCCGTTCCGATTTGTTCCGGCTACAGTTCACCACTGCTTCTATCCTATATTTTATATCTCTTTTATGTCGCGTGCTGAAACGTTTTTGAATTTTTTCCTTTCCCATACTCTTAAAAAATGAATTCCACATGTCTCCCAACTCTACTTACCTCCTCCTTGGCATGCAACCATATCGACAGCTAGCAACAGCATCAGTAATGAAATAACCAGCAAGATCAATAGTCGGGCATGAGCACCAAAATCCATATTCCAAGTGTGCGAAATACTAAGTTAATATGCAATAGAACTGAACTATTTATGAAAAACAATATTACAAAAATCATTAGATTTGGTATTTCGCGTAAAAGATGTTTGCTATGTCAATGGTTTCATACTCACCACAGCAGCGATGAGCAAAAAAACACTTTGGGTACAAGTGACAAAACTGTTTTCTAACGAAAGGCTTTTTATAGCAAAGCTGAAGAATTCTTTCAGAAGGGCAGATAATTAATTTTGTCCATTGGTATTCCAAGATACAACAAATTCTACATTACATGCTTTTATGCTTGATTCCGGGATTACATACAATACGTAACAAAACAAACACTGTTTTACCAGTCTTCGCCTAGATAATGCCCCAGTGAAAGATCAAAATGGCATCAAAAGTATTTCAACCTGCAAATTTGCCATCTTAAGTGATTTATACACAAAATTAAGCACAAAAGCGCTGAAACAGTCTAACATTTCACCTAGTATTTGATCAGGCTTGAACACTTCTAACAGTCGCGCAATTGTGTACCAGGTTAGGGTTAGGCCATTGTTTTATGTACAAATACTACGGGAGTCACTTGTCTAGTCCTCGAACTCGTAATAGAACTAAAATGGGGAAAACTGGAACAAAATTATTGCCTAACGCTAACCTGGTAGACATACTACGTTCCGGTGTCCGCCATTTTGGTTTCCATACTTCGGAAGTACCAAATATTTTGTATCCATTTTCTGTGTTATTGAGTTTCAACAAACAAGCTAGATTCTAGACATTTCATTCATAAAATAAAGTCGAACTAAGCAGGTTGTATATAAATAATCTTATGTACGTATTTTGTAATCAACAGTGTAACCATATTTCATAGCTCGAGGCGCGTATTCAATTCTAAATTTTATTTTTAGCTTGGCGTCAATTTTTTTTTTGTAGTAAATTAAAATACTTCGCTGTCGCTGCTCGATAACCAGCTTTGGTTTCCCGCGACTCCCCTTCCTCAGTAAAACTGTGTATTTATCATTTTCTCGTAATTTTTCTTCGATTGTTGTTGATTTTACTCGTTTGGAAAATAAACCTTACTTGACTTCGTAGCTTGAGACACGCCCGCTTAATATGATTTATTAAATTTTAAGCGCCGCCTTAGAGCTTCAAACAAACACACGGTATTTTCAGAAAATTCAGATATCAACCCAATTTTTCGGGAGGCGCGACGGTGTGGCTCAACGTTCAAGGCTCAAGGTTTTATGAAAGCAGGTCATTTTGTGCAAAAACCATTTGCGCGATATAATAATTTTAGGCCAGTTTAGGAATAGCTGCAAAGGAAGATAAGTTGAAACGATATTATAACACGGACTCTCTTTTTATAAATAGGGCTGAATATATAGGAGTTCTGAAATTCTAAACGTAATATTTGAGAACTCACAATCGATTTTTAAGTAGACCCGTTAAAGAGGTCTCAGTTGACTAGTAATTTTTAGTTTTCTTTCGAGATTTCAACTCTGGTCAACCTCCAGTGTCTGGAAGTTTCTTTTGACAAAACTTGAGTATTTTGAAGAATTCAAAAATACGTCTCATGGTCCAACAAAAATCCTAAATGCTGAATTTATTTTCCTGCTTAAAAGCTAGTTCGTATACTTTAAACCGTCGTAACAAAAACAAGCATAGCATACAGTGTAATATTTCTTCATTTTTCTGATACCTTATTCTCTCTCCTTTTTTTAATTTTGTTTTCTCGGTAAAATATTTTTCTCATTTTCCTTTTAAGACTTCCAGCTATTAGGCGACACCCGATGTTCAAATATGTAATTTGAAATAAATTGAAATTTTAGTGTTTCGAAACTACTGTCCTTTACGCTGGCCTTCAACATTATCAGCAAACGAAAACGGTAACCTGTGTTACCGGCTACGCTTCTACAGGTACCGGTACTGTTTCGCTGCCAGTACTGATTTCGCACATCTCAATATTCTACGTAATTTACCAGGTTTTCAGACTTGAACACTCCCCACAAGCACACAACTTGTTGATTGAAACGTGAGAAAAAATGGGTACTCCTGTAGTATGCGAACCAAGATGGCGGACACTGAAACGTAGTATGTGTACCAGGTTAGGCCATTAATTTATTCCAATTTTCCCTATTTTAGTTCTATTAAGAGTTTGGAGACTAGCCAAGTGACTCCATTAGTATTTGTACCTGAAATTATGGCCTATCCATAGCCTGGTACACATACTACGGGAGTACCAATTATTTTAATTGGCCGTTGGAGGTGTATATATATATTGAAACTACCCATATTGATTCAAATCATAAGCACATTTATTTAATACAACTTTTATTTATTGCCTCTCAGATACATTTCAAATACTGTTATACAAAATATATTTCTATGTAATTCTGATCTTCAGGCAAAATAGCTGAAATAAAATAAAAATTTTAATAGGCATATATGCATTTGGTACCGGGGGCCAAAAGTAGAAAGTTTAGAATATAAGGTCACCTCATTATTCTTCAAGGATTTTATTCTCCAGCTGTTCCACGAAGCCTGTTGAAAATACAAAATTGAATCAAGAGGTTGTGGAAAGTTTCATTTGAAGTTGGCAAAACATGATATTCAATTCAACAAATGATTATAATTATCAATTGGACTACAATTTTCTGTTTGACTAACAAAAATTTGAACTCGGGCAACAACCCACGCGTAAATTTTGAATGATTTCAATTTCATAGGACGCGGCGGTGTGGCTCATTGTGCTAAGCGTTAGGAATACGCTCGCTACCGCACCTCTAATTACTCTGCGTGGTTTCGCGGGTTCGAATCCCGAATTCTTATATCGCCTTGCTGAAACGTTTTTAAAGCTTTCCCTATAGGATTTACATATTTATCCCGGGGGAGAGGAAAGCCGATAAGACGGCTTAATCATATGGCGAACCACGGCCTCTCGTCCGGTTACCATTCCAGATCGGGTATGGGATTAGTTAGCCAGTTATTTGTTTTCGGAATAATGGACTTGATGATGGAGGAAGCCCTAACCGACCAGCGATTACGTGAACCATAATACGGCGGCGAGGAGTTCAGCAATCCTCTCGCACATGATCATCCCCGCATGGGATTCGAACCCATGAAGGGTAATCAGAGCTGCGGTGGCGAGCGTACTCCTGACGCTTAGCACGATGCGCCACACCGTCGAGCCATACTCTCTTCTATCCCATACTCTTTTAAAACATGCTGATTTCACTCCTTCGCTGCTTTGCGTAACTTCAGCATTAACAAGTCTACTTACCTTCTCCTAATTCTCCTCCTCTGCTCCATATTCTTCGTCTTTTTTGGCATGCAACCATATCTATAGCTTGCAACAGCACCAGTAATGAAATTACCAACAAGATTAAAAGTCGGGCATGAGCACCAAAATCCATATTCCAAGTCTGCGAAATACTAAGTTAATATGCAAAAGAACTGTACTATTTATGAAAAACAATATTACAAAAAAATCATTAGATTTGGTATTTCGCGTAAAAAATGTTCGCTATGTCAATGGTTTCATTCCCACCACCGCAGAGTTGAGCAAAAAACGTTTTAATATCAAATGGCAAAACTGTTTTCTAACGAAAGACTTTTTATAGCAAGGCTGAGGAATTCTTTCAGAATGGCAGTTAAATAATTTTGTTTATTATTATTCCAAGATACAACGAATTCTACATTACATGCTTTTATGCTCGATTCCGGGATTACAATACGTAACAAAACAAACACTGTTTTACCAGCCGTCGCCTAGATAATGCCCCAGTGAAAGATCAAAATGGCAACAAAAGTATTTCAACGTGCAAGTTTGCTGTCTTAAGTGATTTATACACAAAATTAAGCACAAAAGCGCTGAAACAGACCAACATTTCACGTATTTTACCTAGCATTGATCAGGCTTGAACACTTCTAACAGTCGCGCAATTGTGTACCAGGTTAAGGTTAGGCTATAGTTTTAGGTACAAATACTACGGGAGTCACTTGTCTATAGTGCTCGAACTCGTAATAGAACTAAAATAGGGAAAATTGGAACAAAATTATTGCCTAACGCTAACCTGGTAGACATACTACGTTCCGGTGTCCGCCATTTTAGTTTCCATACTTCGGGAGTACCAAATATTTTGTATCCATTTTCTGTGTTATTGAGTTTCAATAAATAATCTAGACATTTCATTCAAAAAATAAAGTCGAACCAAACAGGTTGTATATAAAGAATCTTATGTACGTATTTTGTAATCAACAGTGTAACCATATTTCATAGCTCGAGGCGTGTATTCAAGTCTAAATTTTATATTTAGCTTCGCGTCATTTTTGTTTTTCATCGTAGTAAATTGAAATACTTCGCTGTCGCTGCTCGATAACCAGCTTTGGTTCCCCGCGACTTCCTTTCTCAGTGAAACTGTGCAACAATCATTTTCTCGTAATTTTTCTTCGACTGTTGTTGATTTTACTCGTTGGAAAAATAAACCTCACTTGACTTCGTAGCTTGAGACACGCTCCATTAATAGGATTTATTAAATTTTAAGCGCCGCCTTAGAGCTTCAAACAAATACATGGCATTTTCAGAAAATTCAGATATCAACCGAACTTTTCGGGAGGCGCGGCGGTGTGGCTCATCGTTCAAGGCTCAAGGTTTTATGAAAGCAGGTCATTTTGTGCGAAAACCATTTGCGCGATATAATCATTTTAAGCCAGTTTAGGTATAGCTGCAAAGGAAGATAAGTTGAAACGATATTAGAACACGGACTCTCTCTTTATAAATGGGGCTGAATATATAGAAGTTCTGAAATTCTAAACGTAATATTTGTGAACTCACAATCGATTTTTAAGTAGACCTGTTAAAGATGTCAGTTGACTAGTAATTTTTAGTGTTCTTTTGAGATTTCAACTCTGGTAAACCTCCAGTGTCTGGAAGTTTCTTTTGACAAAACTTAAGTATTTTGAAGAATTCAAAAATACGTCTCATGGTCCAACAAAAATGCAAAAATCCTAAATGCTGAATTCATTTTCCTGCTCAAAAGTTAGTTCTTATACTTTGAACCGTCGTTTCAAAAACAAGCATAGCATACAGTGTAATGTTTCTTCATTTTTCGGATACCTTATTCTTTCTCCTTTTTTTAATCTTGTTTTTCTCTCTCTTTTTATTTTGTTTTCTCGGTAAAATATTTTTCTCATTTTCCTTTTAAGACTTCCAGCTATTAGGCGACAACCGATGTTCAAATATGTAATTTGAAATAAATTGAAATGTTAGTGTTTCGAAACTACTGTCCTTTACGCTGGCTTTCAACATTATCAGCAAACAAAAACGGTAACCTGTGTTACCGGCTACGCTTTACAGGTACCGGTACGGTTTCGCTGCCAGTACTGAGTACGTACATCTCAATATTTTACGTAATTTACCAGGTTGTCAGACTTGAACACTCCCCACAAGCACACAACGTGTTGATTGAAACTTGAGAAAAAAATGGGTACTCCTGTAGTATGCGAACCAAGATGGCGGACACCGAAACGTAGTATGTGTACCAGGTTAGGCCTTTATTTTATTCCGATTTTCCTTATTTTAGTTCTATCAAGAGTTCGGAGACTAGCCAAGTGACTCCATTAGTATTTGTACCTGAAATTATGGACTATCCCTAGCCTGGTACACATACTACGAGAGTACCAATTGTTTTAATTGGCCGTTGGAGGTGTATATATATATTGAAACTATCCATATTGATTCAAATCATAAGTCCATTTATTTCGATACAACTTTTATTTATTGCCTCTCAAATACATTTCAAATAATGTTATACACAATATATGTCCATGCATATTCTGATCTCCAGGCAAAATAGCTGAAATGAAATAAAAAATTCAATAGGTATATATATATGCATTCGGTACCGTGGGCCAAAAATAGAAAGTTTGAAATATAAAATCACCTCATTATTCTTCGAGGATTTTATCCAACTGTTCCACGAAGCCTGTTGAAAATACAAAATTGAATCAAGAGATTGTGGTAAGTTTCATTTGGAGTTTGCAAAACATGATATTCACTTCAACGAATGATATTCAAGTGGACTTCACTTTTCTGTTTGACCAACAAAAATTTGAACTCGGGCAGCAACCCACTCGTAAATTTTCGAATCCCATGCAGGAATGCTTATGTGCGAGATGATTGCTGGACACTTCGGTTCACGTAACCGCTGGTCGGTTACGGCTCCCTCCACCGTCAAGTCCATGCTTCCGAAAACAGATAACTAACTAATCCCATACCCGACATCAAATGGTAACCCGACGAAAGGTCGTGGTTCGCCATGTGGTCAAGCCGTATTATCGGCTTTCTTCTCCTCTGAGATAAATATATAAACCCTATACTTCTATCCAGAGATGAGCTGGAAAAACCGTAACAACCGGATCGCACAACACGACGCGGACGTTACCAGAAATTTTTCTCTGTTCTAAGATAAAGCCGGAGAACTGCAATGAAATATGAATAAATTATTTAAAATATGTCTGTGATGTTAAAAGAATCACGAATTATGATGTAACGAAACGTAAATTAATAATTAGGTTTACCAAAATAATTAGACTTTTTGTACCATAATTTTATTTCCACAACAGGAACACAAATGCACTAAAATGTTCAACAACTGGAACGCCGTTCCGTTTTGTTCCGGCTACAGCTCACCACTGCTTCTATCTTATATTTTATACCTTCTCCTATTCCTCCTGCCCCTCCTCCTCCGCCTTGGCATGCAACCATATCGACAGCTCGCAACAGAATCAGTAATGAAATAATCAGCAAGGTCAATATTCGGGCATTAGCACCAAAATTCATATTCCAAGTCTGCGAAATACTAAGTTAATATGTGATGAAATTGAACTCTTTATGAAAAACAATATAATACAAAAAATCATGAAATTTGGTAATTCGCGTAAAAAGGTGTTTGCTATGTCAATGGTTTCATACAAATATCACTCCACCGCAACGTTGAGCGAAAAACACTGAGGCAAGGAGCAACAATGAAGAAATTTAAATAATTTTGTCTATTAATATTCCAAGATACAACGAATTCTACATTACATGCTTTTATGCTTCGATTCCGGGATTACAATACGTAACAAAATAAACACTGTTTTACCAGCCGTCGCCTAGATAATGCCCCAGTGGAAGATCAAAATGGTAACAAAAGTATTTCAACGTGCAAGTTTGCTGTCTTAAGTGATATATACACAAAATTGAGCACAAAAGCGCTGAAACAGTCTAACATTTCACGTATTTTACCTAGCCTTGAACACTTCTAACAGTTGCGCAATTGTGTACCAGGTTAGGGTTAGGCCATAGTTTTTAGGTACAAATACTACAGTAGTCACTTGTCTAGTCCTCGAACTCGTAATAAAACTAAAATAAGGAAAACTGGAACAAAATCATTGCCTAACGCTAACCTGGTAGACATACTACGTTCCGGTGTCCGCCACCTTGGTTTCCATACTTCGGGAGTACCAAATATTTTGTATCCATTTTCTGTGTTATCGAGTTTCAACAAATAATCTAGACCAGGGTGGTCCAAGGTTGTCGGCCACGCGGGCCACAAAATTATCTTCGAGTTGTTCGCGGGTGATAATGAATATGAATAGTTAAACAGTGCAATACAAAAAACACTTTTATTGTGCAAACTTATTGATCAGTATCTGTCATTTATAGAGCTAACCCAAGCAAAAACCACCAAAAAATTTACTAAAATCTGCAAACGTCTTCCTATATCTACATATAGTGTAAACAGGGGTGGGGAACCTTTTGGGTCAAGAGAGCCATGAAAAGCACATATTTTCGATTGCATTTCCGTGCGAGCCATATGTAATTTCTTCCTTCAATCAGGCCTGAAAATTTTCTCAAAAGTCAACACATTCTGATACTGCATGTTGTTGCTGAGGGCCTTGTACGGTTGCTCACATGCAGCCCAAGTTGAAATCTACGATACTCATCAATGTCATCACCCTTCTTATGTTTAGGCATCTCCACAGCATTGTAAAATCTAGTTTCGCTAGTCCGATCTAAATATGACAAATACTGTGTAACCAGTAGGCCTACGTACAAACGGACGAAAAGCTTCTCTCTATTGCTCCGCGCCCCTATCGATTTTTGATGTCACAATATGTTCCTGATTTCCCTAGTTTCGTCACAATGCCTGTCAGGTAATTCTCTCGCATAACATAGACATGCGCTGGGCGCGCGTTTTCGAACTTATTGACAAATTTGGCTAAGAAAGAGTTCAAAATATCGTAAAAATAGTAGGCTTAGCCTTAGAATATTAGATTTTTCTGGGAGCCATATGCCGTCACCAAAAGAGCCATATATGGCTCGCGAGCCATGGGTTTGCCGACCCCTGGGTTAGGCTATAGTTTTAGATACAAATACTACGGTAGTCACTTTCCTAGTCCTCGAACTCGTAATAGAACTAAAATAGGGAAAATTGGGGGCTCCCGAAGTATGCGAACCAAGATGGCGGACATCGGATTGTAATATGTGCACTAGGTTAGGGTTAGGCCATAATTTTAGGTATAAATACTACGTGAGGCTCTTGGCTAGTCTTCGAACTGATAATAGGACTAAAATAAGGAAAATTGGAAAAAAATTATCGCCTAACCCTAACCTGTTACCCATGTTACGTTCCGATGTCCGCCATCTTGGTTCGCATACTTCGGGAGCACCGAAAATTGGAATAAATTTATTGCCTAACGCTAACCTGGTAGACATACTACGTTCCGTTGTCCGCCATTTCAGTTTCCATACTTCGGGAATACCAAATATTTTGTATCCATTTTCTGTGTTATTGAGTTTCAACAAACAATCTAGACATTTCATTCATAAAATAAAGTTGAACTAAGCAGCTTCTATATAAAGAATCTTATGTACGTATTTTGTAACCAACAGTGTAACTATATTTCATAGCTCGAGGCGCGTATTCAATTCTAAATTTTATTTTTAGCTTGGCGTCAATTTTTTTTTGTAGTAAATTAAAACACTTCGCTGTCGCTGCTCGATAACCAGCTTTGGTTCCCCGCGACTCCCTTCCTCAGTAAAACTGTGTATTTATCATTTTGATTTTACTCGTTGGAAAAACCTGACTTGACTTCGTAGCTTGAGACACGCCCCATCAATATGGTTTATTAAATTTTAAGCGCCACCATAGAGCTTCAAACAAATACAAATACTTGATATTTTGTGAAATTCAGATATTAACCGAACTCTTTGGAAGGCGAGGCACTCTTTGCATACTGCGGAAGTTATTGTATGATCGTTTGTCAGTAGTCTAGACACGCGATATTCGAGACTTCATTTTGAAACCTTGTCAGCGTAAAAACTTGCATTTGTTACGTCTGTGTATCTCACGTGCTTGCCCACCGAACTCTCTCTTCAACAAATTAGTATTTGTGTACAAACCAATATGCAATCACAAAAACCGAGCCTGGCGCATTGTGCTTTATCGGGTTTACCTAGACTCAAATACTGTATGTGTATTCTTCCTGTTGTAAAACACAAACTGGTTCGAGGCAGAGTCCCTTTGACTTGATATATTAATCTAGTACTATTCCCTAGAAATCATTCTTCTCAAATTTATGTACAACTCGCCAATGGTGCTTTTTATATTCATATTTTGTGATAATGAAATTACGATACTGCATTATATTTTGCTGTTACATCAACTCATACTATTATATTTGTTTACATTTTTATTTATCTTTCACTTGTCTTCTTATATATTACTTTGACATCCCTCTGCAAGCAAAAAATATTATAAATGATATAAAATAGTTAATATGGGGGGAGCTGACTCTGATGACCGTATCGCTCCTCCCGGTCTATACCGAATTACTTTATTGTTGTATATTTTTATTACTGTTGCAATGCTTGTTTTTCTGGTTGACAAATAGTAAATCTCTCTCTCTCTCTCTCAGGGGATATTTCAATAAAATTCACTCAACATCAGACGTGTTGGCCACCCCTGATATATATAGTTTTAAATAAACATTGAATTGCCATAGTTTTCCTTGCATATTCAGTACTCTGTGTAAAACGCCTGAAGTGAAAATAATATTTTAAAGTAATTATGCGTTTTGTTCATGTTACGTACACCAAGGTAAGGTATAAGTAAGCAGTACTACAGTTGTTTAGTTTTGTTTATTGGTGTTTATGGCATGACTGTATGTGTGTCCGTGCCTTTATGTTATAGCGCGGCGGTATGGCTCAACGGGCTAAGCGTTAGGAATACGCTCGCCACCGCACCTCTAATTACTCTGCATGGGTTCGCAGGTTCGAATCCCATGCAGGGATGGTTATGTGCGAGAGGATTGCTGAACTCCTCGCCGTCGTTGGGTGGTTCACGTAACCGCTGGTCGGTTACGGCTTCCTCCACCACCAAGTCCATGCTTCCGAAAACAAACAATATAACTAATCCCATACCCGACTTGGAATGACAACCGGACGAGAGGCCGTGGTTCGCCATATGGATAAGCCGTCTTATCGGCTTTCCTCTGCCCGGGATAAATATGTAAATCCTATCCTATTTGAAATATGTTCTCCTTTGATAATTTTTTTTTTCAATATTCATTTGGGTACTCCCGTTGTATATGAACCAAGATGGCGGACACCGGAACGTAGTATGCGTATCAGGTTAGGGCTGGGCTATAGTTTTAGGTAAAATACTACGGGACGACTCCAGCCATAACCTGGTACACATACTACATTCCGGTGTCCGCCATCTTGATTCACATACTCCGGGAGTACCGAATTTTCAGTGATTAAAGTAAAGATTGCTCATGTCGAAATATTTTATTTTTAAAATGAGAAGGGATATGTTTCTGTGGTATTCGTTTTTTCTTCTGAACTTCTGTGTGATGACAGTCACTATGATTGGAAATTGCGCACCTTGTGGCGGATCCGCTGGGTATGGCTTTCTTGTTACAGATATCCTGATAAACGACTCAAACTGCGCCAAAAATATAATCAACTTCAGATTTCTTTATTGCTAATTATTATCATTATCTGCGCGATTAAAAAAATCCCTTGCAGATAACTAGGAAATCTCTTAAATGCTCCTGTTATCCATTTCTCTTTGGATCGGCCGTCTTCTGGTATCCAGATCGCCTCGACCTACTTTGAGGTAAATTTTCTTCAATAAATACGCTTGATTTATCTAATACTGTTAAGACTTGAATCACAGGTGTCGCTGTTCGATAACCAGTAATGGTGTCTCGCGCCTCCCTTCACGCTGAGATACCATTTTACTTTATTTATATCGTCTATGCTTTGGTATGATGAAAAAATAAACTACTAATTATTGTTATCTGCGGCTCAGAAGATGTGGAACTTAAAATAACTGTACTGATTCCCAAGAATGCAGATAAACATTAACTTAACACAGAGTTTATTAGCTCCTTACTCTAACACAGACAAAACATAAGTGACCAGTAAACAGAACCAGACTAAATAGGTGCAGTAATTATAAGTGTAGACGAAGTAGTCAATGATGTGAACAAACTGATCTAAAGTAATTAACACAATATTACTACAGTAACATATGCGCACAATCAGTGGTTTCGTTGTTTTATTGCTATCTGCTTAGGACACAAAATCGCTTACAACTGAATCCAGTTTATTGAGAACAGCGGCATAACTTAAACAGTGACAATGAACAAACGTCTACAAGTTAACATGACTGGCGAGCCAGACATATAGATGAGACGCTCCTAACAATTAAGAGTTATCACATTACTAATGAATGAAATAGCACTGTTCAGCCACTCCATACCCGACATGGGTGACATCCAAACGAGAATCCGCCGTACGCCCTAGTTCTCCTTCCTCGGGATGAATATGCAAATACTTGGTACTCCCGAGGTATGCGAACCAAGATGGCTGACACCTCAACGTAGTATGTGTACCAGGTTAGGCCATCATTTCAGGTACAAATAATACGGGAGTCACTTGGTTAGTCCCCGAACTCGTAATAGAACTAAAAGAAGGAAAATTGGAATAAAATTATGGGCGACCGCGACATGCGACAGACTGTTGCTGTTGGAGTCATCAAGGAAACTACCAAAAAGACCGGGAATGTGAAAGAAACCAAGGCAGCAGCTAAGGTCAATAAAAAAGCAGGAGCCAAGAAGTGACTGGAAGCATCTGGCGCCCATCAACAGCTTAGCTTAAACAAGCTTAGCATACAGTGTAATGTTTCTTCATTTTTCGGATACCTTATTCTGTCTCCTTTTTTTAATCTTGTTTTTCTCATTTTTTATTTTGTTCTCTCGGTAAAATATTTCTCTCATTTTCCTTTTAAGACTTACAGCTGTTAGGCGACACCCGATGTTCAAATATGTAATTTGAAATAAATTGAACATTTAGTGTTTCGAATTTACTGTCCTTTACGCTGGCCTTCAACATTATCAGCAAACGAAAACGGTAACCTGTGTTACCGGCTACGCTTCTACAGGTACCGGTACTCTTTCGCTGCCAGTACTGAGTACTTACATCTCAATATTTTACGTAATTTACCAGGTTGTCAGACTTGAACACTCCCCACAAGCACACAACTTGTTGATTGAAACTTGAGAAAAAAATGGGTACTCCTGTAGTATGCGAACCAAGATGGCGGACACCGGAACGTAGTATGTGTACCAGGTCAGGCCATTATTTTATTCCAATTTTCCTTATTTTAGTTCTAGAGTTCGGGGACTAGCCAAGTGACGCCATTAGTATTTGTACCTGAAATTATGGCCTATCTCTAGCCTGGTACACATACTACGTTCCGGCGTCCGCCATTTTGGTTCACATACTACGGGAGTACCAAATATTTTGCACTGTATACACATAAAAGTTGAATTTACCCATATTGATTCAAATCATAAGTCCATTTATTTCGATACAACTTTTATTTATTGCCTCTCAGATACATTTCAAATAATGTTATACACAATATATTTCCATGCATATTCTGATCTCCAGGCAAAACAGCTGAAATAAAAAAAAATTTAATAGGTATATATGTATTTGGTCCCGTGGGCCAGAAATAGAAAGTTTGGAATATAAGGTCACCTCATTATTCTTCAAGGATTTTATTCTCCAGCTGTTCCACGAAGCCTGTTGAAAATACAAAATTGAATCAAGTGGTTGTGGAAATTTCCATTTGGAGTTGGCAAAACATGATATTCTCTTCAACCAATGATAATGAAGTGGACTTCAATTTTCTGTTTGACCAACAAAATTTTGAACTCGGGCAACAACCCACTCATAAATTTTGAATGATTTCAATTTCATTGGGCGCGGCGGTGTGGCTCATCGTGCTAAGCGTTAGGAATGCGCTCGCCACCGCACGCACCTCTGATTACTCTGCGTGGGTTCGCATCTCATGCGAGTATAATTATGTGCGAGATAATGACTGGACTCTTCGCTGTCGTAGGGTGGTTTACGTAACCGACGGTCGGTTACGGCTCTCTCCACCATCAAGTCCATGCTTCCAAAAACAAATAACTAACTAATCCCATACCCGACATGGGATGATAACCGGACGAGAGGCCGGGGTTCGTCATATGTTTAAGCCGTATTATTTGACTAATAAGACTACACATATCTTCCAATTGCAAAACTTCAGCATTAACAACTCAGTGCTTCCGGAGTAGGTGTACGAAAATGGCGCACAACCTGAACATAGTATGTGTATCAAGGTATGGTTCAGGTTGTGCGTCATCTTGCTACACATACTTTCGGAGCGCCATTAACTCTACTTGCCTCCTGGTCTTCCTGCTCCTGTTGGTCCTCGTAGACATGCAACCATATCTATAGCTTGCAACAGCATCAGTAATGAAATTACCAGCAAGAGTAATATCCGGGAATGAGAACCAAAATCCATATTCCAAATCTGCGAAATACTAAGTAAATAGTGATGGAATTGAACTATTTATGAAAAACAATATATATAATACTATAAATTAAATAATTTGGTATTCCGTGCAAAAGTTGTTTGCCATGTCAATGGTTTCATACAAAGATCCCACAACCGCAGCGTTTACCGAAAAACACTTTGAGTACACATGGCAAAACTGTTTTCTAACGAAAGGCTTTTTATAGCAAGGCTGAAGAATTTTTTCAGAATGGCAGTTGAATAATTTTGTCTATTATTATTCCAAGATACAACGAATTCTACATTACATGCTTTTATGCTCGATTCCGGGATTACAATACGTAACAAAACAAAATAAACACTGTTTTACCAGTCGTCGCCTAGATAGTGCCCCAGTGAAAGATCAAAATGGCAACAATAGTATTTCAACCTGCAAGTTTGCCATCTCAAGTGATTTATACACAAAATTAAGCACAAAAGCGCTGAAACAGTCTAACATTTACCTAGCATTGATCAGACTTAAACACTTCTCACAGTCGCGCAATTACGAAACTACATAAATTATAGAAATATATATATATATTAATTGAGTGATTTTGAAAATAACATTTTGTATAATAGGCTTGTTTAAGTAAATGATTTCATTTAATGCTATTGCAGACCCATCATAATCATCACTATGCTTAATATTGGGCTCATCCTTAAAAACAAATTAATCTTGTACGGTCCGTCATCACACTTTTTGCTCGACAAAGCTGTATTAAACATTTTCCATCTATTCTACAGTTTTTCTTCTGCGTTATTGAGTTCCAACAAACAATCTAGACATTTCATCTATAGAATAAAGGCGAACTAAGCAGGTTGTAAATAAAGAAACCTTTTTACGATTGTTGTAATCAACAATGTAATCATATTTCATAGCTTGAGGGGTGTATTCAATTCAAAATTTTATTTTGGCTTCGCGTCATTTTTGTTTTTCTTCGTAGTAAATTTATAATACATCGTAGCTTGAGACGTGCCCGCTTAATATGGAATACGTGCGATCTCTCTCCTATCGGGATCGTTGCGAAGAGAAAAATAGCTTGCTGATTTCGAGTGATCGTCTGCGCGTCTTGGATAACAGTTCGTATAGTTCGAGGTGCTATATTATGTCACCGTGACGTAAGTTTTGGATGACGCAGTCAGACGGTGGTTAGGATTAACATATGCAAAATTGTTATGATCCGCCCACTGTAAGTACTTTAGGTACGAAACTACATTATACCTCCAGACGGATAGATGAGACGCTCTTACAATCGAGAGTTATTGCGCTACTTTTTACTTGAGTAATCATATTACATCACATCAGTAATAAAAAAAAATCATTGTTCTGCTACTTCATACCCGACATTAGTGATAACCAAACAAGGAAGCGTCGTATGCCCTAGTTCTATCCTTCTACGATATAAATATGAGGGTGTCTTAAAAATGTTGTGTCAACATTTTCAAGACACTGTGAATATGAAATACCCCCTCCTCAAATACCATAAAAAAAACTTTTATTAACCCACCCAAATAAGAATCAACACATACTTTCTCGCAAATTATCATTATTTTCACAATTAAAAAGTTCAGACGAAATGTACAATCCAGAATAACAATTTGTGACCTTTGAAGAAAACCATGCGACGTAGAATATTCACCAAGAATCTGAAACTTTTTGGGGTCCTATGTTTCAATGTAGTTCTCGAACATAAAACATCTGGAAACAGTTTCAGTTGGCATCACTCAACTAATTACACAAATACAATATTCGTAATAGCATAATATGAAGCAGACCGAAAGGATATCCATCACGATGTTTCAAAACAGGGGTTCCCATAAACATGGACCCTGTTTATCTTTCCAGTGGTATTTAGATATTTATTTTCATCGGTAGATTCCAAATCCTATTATGTTCAAACAATTCATGCTCAACAATGTGAAAACACCCTGTGAAATAACCTTATCAAGCAATGAAACTAGGAAAAAGGGGGAGTTTTCTGGTAAGGAGATGAAAAAATCAGTTTTGTGTCCGACATGCCCCCCCCCCCCCCTTTTTTTTCGTTGGACACGCTTGGGAACCACCTTTTTCTAACATTTTAGACTAATACATTATTCTATTTGTGAAATGCAGCAACTCAGTAACAACATGATCAATTTGACGTCTTTTCATGTCAACTATTTGAAGAAGTGTAAACAATAACCACGATTCTGAAATTAATTTATTTTTATTGCCGGGACTTTTGTGTTCTAATTCATAAACATAACTCTACTGGCAGTATACATTTTTTCAACTGGGGGGGGGGGGGGGGGGATTTTTTTTTGAAAACTTTTTTTGGTTTAAAAAAGAAAAAAGCTATGTGTGAATTCCGCAATAATTCAAATAAAATCAAAACTACGTGCTGTACATTTCAAAAATTTACAGAATCAAATGAAGCTGCATGTTCAATCATGCAGAAAAGGTGCTGTACAGTCACACATGAATGACCTTATCGCTAAAAATATTCACAATTCCCAAACGATCCAAAAATGAATGATTTGTTCATGATCATGCATGGAACAGAGATAATTTGGAGATGTACTGATTTCATAATTTTTACCCAGCTTCACTCTGAACAAAGCTTAGGACAAGTGTCGCTGAAGCCAATGAGAGAAAACAGCATAAGAAGGTATTTAAATCAGGTACGCCATGTCAAAATGGGAAGATGCTAAAACAACACTTATCTATAAATATCAGCCGCAGATTATCTTAGCCTTGCTTGGATTAAAGATTTAAAAACAACACATGAGTCCACTTTTACCTTTGAATGGGTAATTAGAAAAAAGCATCACCCCTGAATAGAAAATTGGGGTATCGTTCTAAATGTAGGTGTTGGCCTTGATCAAGATAACAATGTGAAAATTCAACAATAAAGTCCATTTTTTTCAGCTGATCGAGATAATTATCGTAAAAAAATTTTTCCATGGACTCGTAGGGCGTGTGTAAAGAGGTCTAAAGCTTTGTTCTAAGAATGATATAGAAACTTCAGAAAAGTTTATTCCAGATTTTAATTCGGTTAAAATAATCAAATGAAAGAGGAAAAAAACCCAGACTTCCAACTGCTTTTCAAGAGGCTTAATTGAACAAGAAAATTTGGTACTCCTGTAGTATATGTACCAGATTAGGGTTATGCTATAATTTTATTCTGATTTTCCTTGTTTCATTTATATTACGAATTCGGGACTGTCTGTGTTAGCTGAGTGAATATACACCCTTGCCCATAGGTTTCAGTCTCTTTACACAACTTGATGTAACATAGGCGAACAAAATGAGTTACCTCCATACTGGTACACATACTTCTGGAGCGCCGAAATTTTAATAGTAAAGTCTACTTTTCAGCTGATTGGGGTAGAAAAAACGCCACAAAAATAATCCAAATTTGGCAGTACATCTCTATTACTGATCCATAGACTCTCATGAACAAATTAGTCCGTGAAAAAAAATGAAACGCTAATAATCGTCCCCTCGGCTGACAACTTCTTTGCAATTCGGACGGAGAAGAATCGTGTGCTCAAACTGCGCTGTGTAGCAACCTTTGATGTCACAAAGGGGAGGATACGGATCAACGACTCCAGAATCGCACAGATTTTTCAACGCCATCAAATACTTCGTTTCTCCAAGACGGTCGATCCAACGCCGACAAAACGCCAACGTACCGAAGTTTTCACCGATTATATGCAACAGCTTCTTTGCTCTTGGTAATCTGCAGATAAAACAAAAAGGGCTGAGAATTAGGTTCGTTAGTGAAGTTAAAGCAGGGGCAACATTTTTTGTCAGTGACCAATATAAACAACTTCAGGCTTCGTTTTTTTTCCATGTATACATTAAATTAAAAAGGTTCCTACACTGCAAAATATCAGTATATTTCTCATTTTAGTGGGACAATTGAAATTACGAGTTCTTGCATAGTTTGTTAATATCAGCCTTTAACATTAACTGTCGGATTAAGATTTTATGCCAATATGGGCCAAACTAAATGGCTTGTAAGAGCGAAAGACAGTAAACTCAAATGAGCCAAGAAAGAGCGGCGTGCGGGATGGGGCGCCCAATCCCTCGGTGGCAGGAGAGAGAGAGTGCTGCGTCGCCGGCATCGGCGTCGAGAAAAGCCGAGCCGAAAAGAGTCGAGTGACGGCACGTGAAAGCATACTAACCTAACCCTAGGTACGGCCTGTAAGAGCGAAAGACAGTAAACTCGAATGAGCCAAGAAAGAGCGGCGTGCGAGATGGGTTGTGGCCGTGGGTCGCCTGTTGCACACATCTAAGTTAACGGGTTAACCTGCGTCTAAGACTACACGAAAACTCATAAATATGAAATGTGTTTTGCTAGTCAGATTATGATTATGAACAATTTATAAAACTACCTAATAAATTCGAGAGTTCAAGAATGATAGACTCCAACTACAACAGCAGAATTACAAATAATTGACTCCAACTACAACCGTAGAACTAGAAATAATTGACTCCAACTACAACAGCAGAACTAGAAATAATTGACTCCAAGTACAACCAAAGAATTAGAAATAATTGACTCCAACTACAATAGCAGAACTAGAAACAATTGACGCCAATTACAACCGTAGAATCACAAATAATTGACTCCAAATACAACTGGAGAAAATGAAATATTGACTCCAACTACAACAGCAGAACTAGAAATAATTGACGCCAACTACAACCATACAACTAGAAATTATTGACGCCAACTACAACCGGAGAAATAGAAATAATGACTCCAAATACAACCGGAGAAAAAGAAATATCGACTCCAACTACAACAGCAGAACTAGAAATAATTGACTCCAACTACAACAGCAGAACTAGAAATAATTGACTCCAAGTACAACCAAAGAATTAGAAATAATTGACTCCAACTACAATAGCAGAACTAGAAACAATTGACGCCAATTACAACCGTAGAATCACAAATAATTGACTCCAAATACAACTGGAGAAAATGAAATATTGACTCCAACTACAACAGCAGAACTAGAAATAATTGACGCCAACTACAACCATACAACTAGAAATTATTGACGCCAACTACAACCGGAGAAATAGAAATAATGACTCCAAATACAACCGGAGAAAAAGAAATATCGACTCCAACTACAACAGCAGAACTAGAAATAATTGACTCCAACTACAACTGGAGAATTAGAAATAATTGACTCCAACTACAACTGGAGAATTAGAAACAATTGACTCCAACAGCAGAATTAGAATCTAACTTCAGTTTTGTCCCGGTTCCATATCCATAGCAATTCACCTATGTGCTGTGGTAAGACCTTAGCTGAGTGCAGGATCCTACAAAAACATGGCTGACTGGCCTGACATATTGCCACAAGGGAAATATTGCACACCATAGGAAATTACAAAAATATAAAAAAGTAATAGCTTTCTAGTTACATTTTCCCTAACTAAGGAATGAAATTTGATTGTTAGTTACTTATAAAAGCTACAGTGTTTCTCCAAAATAAGACATGGGTCTTATTTCTATTTTCTGTCGTAAAATAACACGAGCCCATTTTGGGGGGAAGCCCTTTATTTTCAGTTATTAAAAACAAAATTTGAAAGTAGACAATTACGAGATTTTCAAATATACAAAATATAAAAACCGATATCCATTTACCTATAAATAACACATTTTAATTTGAAAAAGGAGAGGGCTTATATTAAAATCATTTTCATATTCGGGATGGGTCTTATTTTCGGGGGATTAATATTTTTTGGCAACCACAACAACAACGAAAAGTAACAGCAAAACTCTTACCTGAGTGGAACATGTGTCTGAGCCAAATCAAAGTTCTTCATGTAGTGAGAGCATTCCATGTCATCATGTACAACACCACGGCCCGTACTTCCAAAAGTTTCGATGGCAAATACTTCGCCCTCCTGTGGTAGAAAATAACGGTGAATATTAGTATTCTTCTGCGGAGAAAAAAGCTCATAAGATACTTAATTTTGTAATGAAAAATTGGAAACTTGTCCAGTTTTTTAATCCATATTATGTGTAAGAATAGTTAATTAGGTCATTTGCTGAAGGCTGAATTATACAGCTAACCAATGACCGCTCTTGTCCTGTTACCAGTACAGGTCAGGTATCGAAATCAGTTTTCTGGTTTCTCATAGACAGGCTCCCATAATCATGAGTATGTGGACCAGGCAGCCATGGCATACATATGTGGTTTTAAAATTAGTGGTGGATGACCTAAGGCAGGGGTGTGCAAAGTGCGGCCCGCGGGCCAAATCGGACCACAAGGAAAATTTGTGCGGCCCGCCGAGGCAACTGAAGAGCAGTTTAAAAAAAATTTAATATAAAAAGATACAAAAGCTAAATGAGTTTCGATTCCAGCCTATCAATTGATTTTGTCTAAATCTAACGTAGAATAGGATTTGACAGCAAATTATTTGGAAATGAATCTTGGCGTATTTTACTGAAAACCAAGATAACTATCCACATTTGAAAAAAAGTCATGACTTCATGGTAACATATTTTTTTCTAAAGTTGTCGTCATATCTATTTGCTAGCACTTCCATAATGACAAAAAGACACCATTTTGTGCCTGCAACTAATAGAAAGCCTGAGTCAAATGTAGGTGCGGCCCGCGGTTTCAGCCGGTTATTGATATTTGGCCCGCCTGCGAAAAAGGTTGCACACCCCTGACCTAAGGCAAACGGCTCCCGGCACCGACAAGCGAGATAACTATCAGAGAAGTAAGTAGCAGTATTAATCTTAGCTTCAATCCCATTCCACAGTGTGGCACATATGGCTACTAGTAAGTTGAGGTTTCTGCCATCAAAGTCTGTGCATCTGGGAGCATTAGCAGGAGGATTTCTGCACTCCTCAACATCATAAGGTAACTGGTTTACGACTCCCTCCATCATCAAGTCAATGCATATGAATGAAAACTGGTCAATGATACCTGACTTGGACTGGATACCAGACAGGCAGTTGTGGGTTGCTCTAATATTACAGTCATTTAGGCATAAACTAATAAAACGAGAATATCGGTCCGAAACCGAAGACTTATCGATCGAAAGTTATCCCCCAAAACAGCGCTCTTACTCCATAGTAACACCTTGTGTCCCATCACTAATTAATTAATAACTCGCTAATTATACGACATAATTCGCCCAAAATCAATGGGCTTCTGGTCCGAGATAAGATGAATGCACATGCAAAATCTGGAGCAGATTCAATCTCGCTTTCGTGAGATATCGCGTGCATCTAACAGACATACATACAGACAAATACCTATCAACATACTTACCGATTAAAATCGATAAGTAACAATTCTCAATGATTCATTAAAATACAATAGTCAATTTTAAATGTATTCGAAGATTCACAAAAACAACAATTCCGCTAAGACGTGACATAGAGAGAGAGAAATACTCATGCAAACACAACAATAGCAAAGTGAAGGTGCGAAAATAAAGTAATGTGACAGAGTAGGCAGGGTATTCAACATTACAGACACAGTGGTTATTCCACGTATAACCTACCTAAATGTTGAGGGTTTTAGGAAGCGAACACTTTTCCCTTAATACAGGGGTCGGCGACCTATGGCCCGCGGCACTATAAGAACTATAATCCGGCCCGCGACGCTAAATTATAGTAACAAATCATCCATTTGGACGAATATAATCTTTAGACTAAATTATATTATAACCTAACAATTATATATTTCACAATTACTCATTCAATGAGCATATAATTTCATTATAATTAAGCAAATGGAAACAAAACGCAAAGTGTTGATGCTAAGTGCAAAGGCTTCAATGGCGCTGAAAATATTCAAAATAAATTTTATGAGATGCAATGAGGAAATAAATCTAAATTCTATTCGAGAGATGAATCACCGCTTGATTTTTATTATAAAAAGTACCATCCGTTCGGTTTTTCAACTTTCTAAAAATAAGTGCGGCCCGCCAATGACTTGCAACCTTAATTTTGGGCGAGCGACAAAAGGTTGCCGACCCCTGCCCTAATATCACGACAGAAACCAAATTGCGCATATTGAATGTTTAAAATTGAATAAATTTCAGTACTTTATTATGTTAGCGACCCTGGAAATGGGGAGTGCTAAAACTTAATAAATCACTATTACGAAAAAAAATTGCCCTGACAGAAAACTTTCCGAAGTGTTCACTTTCACAATTTAACATAAATTCAGATAACGTTAATTGCCCAGCAGAATATTTTCCAAAGTGCTCGAGACATTAGTGTTCACTTTGACAATTTAAAAAATGTTAAAAACCCAGCCTAAGGTGACAAATAATCTCATTTTCGCACCTCCATTCTGGCAGAAGTTTCTCTTTTGACAATGGGAACAGTTTTTCCCGCGTGGATCCGATATTGACCGATTGAATGTCCATTCAAATTACGGATTGGTTTAACTGGTTTAAATTGAAAATGAAAAAATTAATAACTAGCCATAAAAATTGAAATTGGAGTTTGGAAGCTCCGCAAAGAGTCACGCTTGAAAGGATATCATCCAGAGATAGTATTTTTTTTAATTAGATTGGCGACAAAAAATGCTTGGTAAATAGGATAAATAGATAGATAAAATGAAAACGGAAAACTGGGAGATTTTTTGCCTGTACAATCAGGATAGGATTTTTATATTTATCCCAGGGGAAAGGAAACCTGGTAGGACAGTTTTATTATAGTATAAACCAAGGTCTCTCATCAGATTACCAGTTCATGTCATGTATAGGGACAATTATTTAGTTATTTGTTTCAGAAGCATGGACAGTGGTGGAAGCAATAAGTTGGCATATTCTGTTGGGCACTAAAAAACGTTTGCCATCACACAGCTGATAATCCAATGTGGGTTCGCAAGTTTATATTGATGATAATCATGTGCGAGAAGATTGCTGGACTCCTCGCCGCCACAAGGTAGTTCATGTAACCGCTGGTCGGTTACGGCTTCCTCCAACATCTAACAAAATAACCGGCTAACCAGTAACTGCACGAAAGGCCATGGTTCGCCATATAATTAAGCCGTCTTATCAACTTTCCTTTCCTCTGGAATAAAATGAAAATCCTATCCCTACATTAAAAGCACTCAATGGTATATCAAATTGTACATAGCCAACCATACTTGTCTTGCCAGAATCATTGCATTTAATAAGGCATAAACATATTCTGTCTAGGATGATATCCGCCCAAACTTCTATATCAAAATACCTCCATTCTTGTCTGGTCTCCTCCTCGAACAATCGGAACTGTTTTACCTGCGTGAATCTGATACGGACCTATCGAGTGGCCGCTAAGGTTTCGAATCGATTTTACTGAAGAAAATTGTGTTATGTTAGAGCAGAGTTTCTTAAACGGGTACACGACTCCCTCAGGGCAGTTCTCCGTGTGCCATAAGCAACGACCTTGATAAGGTCACGATGGCCACATTAATTCAAAGTAAATTGTCTGCAATTCGTTTAATTCTTTGACTGTTATGCATTCTTTTTTTATCTTGAGTGTTGGAGTTTCTCAAAATGGATGCCTTTCCCCCTAAAGAGCCCAGCAGTTCTCTGGGTGTCACAAGTAATGACCTTGAATAGATAACAATCGCAATGACCACATTATTTTAAAGTAAATTGATTTGTTTAATTTTCATTTCTTCTTTTAGATTTGTTAATTGGGTTTTATTATTAAACATGGGCATTAAAACACCTGATGAAAATTTGTCAAATGCAAAACTAGTATTTTTTGAACAAAAGCGGGGCTATGGAATGTTGGGGGTCTCAGGAAGGGACAATGGATCGATCATAAAGCTTGAGAACAATGCTGTTACAACATTTATGGCATAACGATACAATTTATTTTTTCATTTCTCGCAACTTGTTTTGCAAAATCGGCTTCCTTTCGAAGGTGCATAAACTTAAGGGAGTCGCAAAATTTCGGAAATATCACAATGATATTAAATGCGCTTGAAAGTTCATCAAAAAATATGATTCTATCACGATGAAATAGAAACATTTTTGGAACTATAAAAAGATTTGCCGTAGCATTATGAATATTTTTCAGTAAATCCTATGCATGCACATCCATGTTTCCACATATGAAAAGCCGCATAATTTCGGAATCATCATAACGGTAATAACTCTATTGCTCTTGAAAGCCTATGGAGAAGTATAATTCTATCAGGGTCCAAACTCATTTAAAACCATAAAAAGATTTGTTGAAGCATAATGAGCGGTTTTGGGTAAATCGTATGCACGCTAATCTGAGTTTTTACATATGAATACTCTCCTCTCACCTTGGTAAGTCTTTCCATCCAACTCAACCTCATATGACTCCATGGTCTCCTGTATAAGTTCACCAATCTCACAAAGCCTCGCGTCAATGCCTGAAAAATTAGGAATTATAAGCTTAAATCTTTGAATTTTTTGGGGAAAAGCAAACACAATTATCAAAGTCATGAAGTTGGATTCATAATTGTGATATTGGAATGTTTTTACATTGATATTGGTGTTGTTCAAGTTTCCCACAATGTTTTTTATTGAATTCTATCGGATCAAAATTCAGGTTTTTATGGTGATTATCAAAATCTGACAGTCAAAAATTCTGTCCAAAATCAAAAAAGGATTGACGAAAAATTAACGAAAGGAAGCCAAATTTCCTTTTCAGCGCATTGTGATTTATATTAGGCTTTAGAATGCATCGTTTTTTGTAAAAGTTTAGTTAAGGAACTTCTGTTTTAATGTGGAATGAAGTATTCTGAATCATACCAATTAAAGACATAGATAGAAATCTGGTATATCCAAGAATACGATTATAAACACCCAGGTCGAAAGTTAGTAAACTTCTCCAACACCTCATTTTAGCTTATCTTGGATAAAAATCAAACAACCACCAACCTGCGTTCTTTATTCCTGTGTTTGTTGCTGCTTTCACTGCTTCCAGTAACCTATCATATTTGGGGTTAAAGGTCACAGTAAAGGCACAGTCGATAATTCGTCCTGTAACATAACAAGGCAAGTTTTGTTTTTCTAGCCAATAAAAAACAATCACACACAAAATTATAAGAAAGTTGAGGCATTTGCGGTAAAAATGGAAAACTTAACTGATTATTAAGCAATGACATCTTGTGAGAGTACATATGCACCCAGGGTTGTCCAAAACGAATCGAATATTCGAATGTATTCGAATATCAAAGTATTCGAATACCTTTTCGGCTTATTTTCGAATAATTCCGAATAGTAGCCACGTTTCGCCGTAAACGTGGTGTTTCGTTTTACGGGAATCTTCAAACGACTTTTTATGCTGTTTCACGTATTGTAATGACGATGAAATAGAATCGGCACCTTGATTGTTTAAATTCTGTGCGACCGTACGTCGCATAGTGTTGCGACACATTTGCACGTTTGCGTGGGTGAACATTGCCGACATTCGTCTACGAGGCTTTTAATTTACAAATTCATTTCCATTACGTCGGAAAATTGACAAATACCGTATTTCATGATATTTATTCGCAGGCCGGTTATCGTTACTTTAAAGAGAAACACGGCCACCGAGATAAAGCGATTTGTGACCCTTTCATTTTGCCGATTCAGCAGAACACGACAGGGGCAGGAAAACACAGCTGTGAAATAACCCCTGGACGTACAGTGTAGTACTTATCACATTCCAAAATTATTTCAACATTCGGGTTGATAGGTTGTCCAAAATGATTGCCGCTTTACAACTTAAATTCACCACTCAATTGTTAAAAATAGACAATTCTGTGAGTATGATTCTACCAAACTAACATGATCTTGTTCTAAACATATAAAATAATTAGCGCATATCAGCATAACTGAACAACAGGGACACAATTTTGCTACCCTTCTTATTGGAGGCCTATATGAAAAAAAAACTTTTTTGAGTGCTAAAAATAGACATCGTCCTATTTGCCATGTGGACTTATTAGCCGGGAAATACGGTATTTATAGCCGTCATTGTTACGATATTCAATAAATTGTCACAAGTTGGAAAAACAAGTCGATTTATTAGAACATAATTTCTGGCAAATAATTCTGATAACGATAGTTAAAAGTATCGATCTTTTACCAGGATGATTTTTTGTTGCGCAAAATAATCCAATCCATGATTGGTACCAGCATTTAAAATGTCATGCCGTATTATTTTAATTCTGTTTAACATAACTCATGGTTGTATCGACTATCTGTGGACATAAAATGTGTGGTAAACTGCCCAATTATAATTAATTTCGGATTCGTATTTACAAAATAATAAAACTATTATAATTCTAAAATGCAACAGCGATCTGTCGCCTTCAAATGTGTGGTAAACTGCTATGCCCGATTTACCAACATTTGAGTTAGGATTATAGAATTAAATTAACACGGTAAGGCATTTTAAATAGTGGTATCGGTCATGGATTCGAATATTTTGCGCAGCACAAAATCATCCTAGTAAAAAGTCTATACTACAAACCAATGGCAACCATTATCCAAATTAGTTCCCAAGAGCGGGATAAAGTGTAAATTCTTTTTCCGACTTGTGACAATTTTTCGTGATCAAAAACTAATTATATTCGGCACAATATCACGGCAATCTGTGGACATAAATTGTGTGGCAAACTCGCGATTAATATTAATTTTCGAATTCTATTTTCGTATTTACAAAATACAACGGCGATCTGTGGACTTAGTATGTGTGGTAAACTACCCGATTATAAATAGTTTTTGAGTCGGAAAAATAACTCATACTTTATCCTGCTTAATTTGGAAAATGGTTGGTATTTAAAAGTATGGGCGTTTTACTAGGATGATTTTGAGTTGCGCAAATATTCAATTCCGTCATCGATACCACTATTGCCGAATTAATTTAATTCTGTTAACATGACTCATGGTATATAAAATAAATACTGCATAAATCTGCAAATATGAAATGCCTGGTAATATAGCTAGGTTGTAACTTGTAGATAGCAGTTATTCCATTGCTTATTGTATGGAAATTCCTACATACATTTAGATAAGCTTCAATTAGTGGATTTTATTTTCGAAGTATTCGAAATTTCATATTCGGAAAAAATAATTTCGAATGTATTCGAAATAGTGAACTATTCGGTATTGGCCATCCCTGTATGCACCATTCACTAAATTGTTGTTAATTTAAAATAAAAATATTAGTGCAATCGGATTCCCATTTTCCTCAGAATATTATGAGCCTGCTCTTTTGTGGCCTATTATATTATTTCATGTGAAAAATTTTATCCAGACCTGACCTCTATCTGCCAATAGGGTCATCTTGCTTATATCAATATTGTCAATATTTCACACTTTTTAAAAACCTCATAAATAATTTCCAAAAAATGGCGTAACTATGCCTGTCTAAATCCTTATTCTAAAAAAATCACTATTCAAATAACCATACCATTGATATGAGTTCCAAAGTCAATTTTACAAACGTCATCATATTTCAGAACAGTTTTGTCTCCAGCGTTAGGGGTGTAGTGAGCGGCGCAGTGATTCAGTGAACAACCTGAAAACAAAAAAAGATTTGAGTTCGTTTCATCAAATGAAAGGTCCAGGCTATGGCCTAACAACAAGCAGGATGGTTCAGCAGCACAAGAGTCACAGTATATTCGAATTAGAGGAAAGATCGAGCCCAAAAATTCCAGACTAACCCGGGTCCATGGGTATTAAACCCGGCCCGAGTCCGACTAATTAACTGGATTTGCAGGCCCGAGCTCGAAGCAAACCAGAAATTTCATATTTTATTTAGAATTTCTTCAAATTCCACACATAGTTTTTGTATACATTTTTTATAAACATATATTTATTTGAAAAAAGTCAGCGATAGAGAAGCCCGACCCAAACGTAATCATTGACATTTCAGGCCCGACCCGACCGTAATGATTAATATTTTAGGCCCGACCCGGCCCGAACATAATGATTATTATTTTGGGCCCGACCCGACCCGAACATAATGATTGACATTTCAGGTCTTAGCTCTAATTCGAACTGTGGATTCAGCTCCTAGGTTTCACACCAGGTGAAAAATGTCCCCGATTTGCTTTACTGTTATAATGGGTTTTGGACTCTCATGGATATACAAAAATCCTATACTTTCGTATCAGTAGAATTTCTGCATCATAGACAAATGCTTCGAGAAAGATTTGATTAGGTGATTAAGCAATTCCATCAACTTTCTTCTCCTCTCAGATAAATATGGAAATCTTTGGTTTTTAAAAGCAACAACAACAACAAACAATCCAACCTGTCGGAAAAGCAAGTCCGGCTTCCAATTTATTTTCATTGATCAGTTTTCTCGATGCGTCTTCTAATTTCTCGCTAAAAGAAAAAGACTTTATTTTAAAAGCACATTAAGTAGAATATTAGGAATGCGCTTGCCATCCCACCACTGATTTCCACACAGTAACACGCTTGCCCCACACTCGTTTGTAATAAATGTAAAAACTAAACTAGGTATTTTTGTAGGAAAGCAGGTGCCAAGTGTTTGAAACATTGGAAGGGGTCAAGGATCATGAGAGTTTGAGAAGCACTCTTTCATAATCTCATTAAATTCGACAACTTCAGTTGTGACTTAGCCCAGATATCATTCTGCTATATTTCTGAGGGACCTCGCTTTGAGTAAACTTCCTTCTTTTTCTATGGTCCTAAAATAGTTTCGACTTTATGGCATCTTTCTTTGTTTATAATGTGCCGAAGATCAATCGTTCGCTGATTCAAAATACTTTTCATGTCAAGAAAACACAAATTCTTTAAATATTTTTGGTAATATTTACACAATAAAAGATAGTATGTAGTAAAATAAAAAATATACAAAAGCAACACCATGCGATCAACGCAATTGCAAACACTCGGACAAAGCATGGATCATGGTTGACTATTTGAAATGATTTTATTTTGAGGCAGAAATACTCTGGTCACAACATAAACCTGCAAATAACAAAGTGCCACACCATGACCAAGGATGACAAAAAGTAAATAAATTTCACTTACCAGATATCTATCATAGTCATTCCTGGCTGTATATATCCCTGAACGTACTTCCTAACCTGTCTGTGAGCTTCTGCCGCTTGTCTGAAGTCGTTCCACATCTCGTCATATGAAATATCTAAAGCCTTTTTCTCTTCTGATGTAGTTCGCCATTCTGAAGTTTTCCTGAAAAAAAAGGGATCATGACGCTTTTTGGAGCTGGAAACGAAATTGGGACAAGGTCGCCATTCAGATGTTTTGCGAGGTTTTGCTATAAAATAATCTTTTTTTATATCAAGCCCCTTCTAACCAGGGAAGCAATGGAGACATGATATTTTATTGGGATTGGAGCTTGGCATAGCTGAGACAAGCTTTTAATAATAATTGAAGCTGAGTCCAGAGCTAGCACAAATTTTGGAACTCTCGTAGTGTGTGTACCAGGTTAAGGTTAGGACATAAATTATTCCCGATTTCCCTTATTTTGATTTTTTACCATTTTTTAAAAATTGAGCCCCTTCTAACCAGGTTAGGGAGCCAGAACTCAACCATGACGTTTTATTAGAGCTGGAGACATAGCTTTCAATATTAATTGGCAGCTGAAGCCAGAGGTAGCACAAATTTTAATTGCGGCGTTTAAAAAGCTGATCTTTTTAATATATTTTAAGCCTTTTGACTCTTAACTGTTATCTACTGGAATCTCTTTTTCACAGAGCCTTGCCAAAGGGCTCAAACATCTGGAGTAGGAGGCTATTAAAAACACTGTATAAAATATTCTTGTTCTACAGTAGCCCTGCTTGCATATAGTATCTCCTTAGCGAATGCTTGAACAAAGCCTTGTTCACATAGAAAGTGTGAAATCACTACTAATTAAATAAATAAACTATAGTTACCCATTTTTATCTGGTGGATATTCCACTTCTTCTCCTTTCGGAAATATCTTTGGATTGTACAAATCGAAGATTGGTATGGTAGGGGGATCAGTTTGTTGTTTTGGACCCTTTTTCTTCTTGCGTTTACGTTTCTTTTTCCCTCCCCCTCCTTCTTCTGGGCCTTCCTCTCCCACTGCATCATCTAGATCAGATAAAAAGTAAATTTCATGAAACTACACAATTATAAGCGCTCCAGAAGTGTGTGTACCAATATAGAGGTAACTAATTTTGTTCGCCTACTTTACATCAAGTTTTGCAAAGAGACTGAAACCTATGGGCAGTGGGATATTCACTTGGCTAACACAGACAGTCCCCGAACTCGTAATAGAACTGAAATAAGGAAAATCGAAATAAAATTATGACCTAACCCTGTTACACATGGAAAACATACTCATACCCTGGCACACATACTACGGGAGTACCCAATTGTGTAGGGAAAAATAAAATACAAAACTTTGCAATAGAGGCCCAAACTGTGTGTCGCAATATAATTTCGAGTGCGTTTAAAATATCGAAATATTTCTCTAAAAATTACTTCTCTTTTGTTCGTGCTTAGAACTTAACATAAAAAGATCAAAAGATATTAAAAATTGAACATTTAGAGAGAAGTGTGAGGTGCGATGTCCGACATTCAACTGCAATCTAAAATTTAGTCAACAAAAACAAGCTCATATATCGCTTTGATTAAACGTACATACTATACATTAATAAAATTTCTCTTGTTGCAATTTAATGTTACGGAAATAAATTCAAATTTTCTTTTCAATGCTTAACCCTTGAAAAGTTTGGGGACCTACATCTCATTGTTTTCAACCTTTTTATCATTGTGGGACTCCGATATACTACCTATTGAAGAATATTCAAAACACCCACGAATGGGGAAATTCGCATAAGCCCTTAAAAAAAATTTATCCGAACCCTACCGAACTAAAATTCATGGAACCCCAATAAGTGTATTGCAGATACTAGAGTTTCTGCGGAACCCTGATTGAAATGCACTGCTCTAGCCAAATAAAACACCGAATGGCCAACTTCTACTGAAACTATCTATACCATAAATTAAAAGTTCAATTAACCCTTTCACCTCCAGCTTCACCATCTGCAATGGTATTCTCATTCATTTGTCCAACAATATCAGATACAGGGCAAGATAATTCTTCACCAGCTTCACCATTCACAGGGCTCTCTAAAAACAAAAGTAGTTGCCAGATTAACGCTAATTTATTTATAATCAATTACCAGAGATGTAATTACCTGGAGCAGTGGTGTGCCGCAGGCCAAATGCAGCTAGGAAGAAAAATATGTGCGGGCCGCAGAGAAATGCCAATTTTAAATGGTGTGCGACAAGCGAACAAGTTTTTAATTGAGTTTCATCTGATATATATGAGTGATTCCATTTCGTTTGAGTTCAAAGCCTATACTTGAGTTCAATTGAGGTTGTGCAACGCGAACAACGCATGTCGCAAGATCAATAACCAAAAGTTTTGTTTCTGCAACCACTAGAAGGCCTATGTTAAATAAAGTTGCGAACCACGGTTTCAACCAGTTATTTGTATTTAGCCCTTCTGTATTAAAGTTGCACACCTATGGCCTAGACTAGAAGAAGAACTTTGCATAATGTGCTGTTTATGGAAGTGTTAAATAAGCAAGAATCCCGGGTTGAAAAAATCTGATAAGAAGAATGGGATTTACATATTCATCCCGGGGGAGAGGAAAGCCGATAAGACGGCTTATCCATATGGCGAACCACGGCCTCTCGTCCGGTTACCATTCCAAGTCGGGTATGGGATTAGTTATATTGTTTGTTTTTCGGAAGCATGGACTTGGTGGTGGAGGAAGCCGTAACCGACCAGCGGTTACGTGAACCACCCAACGACGACGAGGAGTCCAGCAATCCTCTCGCACATAACCATCCCTGCATGGGATTCGAACCTGCGAACCCACGCAGAGTAATTAGAGGTGCGGTGGCGAGCTTATTCCTAAAGCTTAGCCCGTTGAGCCACACCGCCGCGCAGAAGGCTTAATCACATGCAGGGATGGCCATTTCCAAATACTTGTCTATTCCGAATACATTCTAAAATAATATTTTCGAATATGGAATTCTGAATACATTCTAAAATCAGACAAAAACCATTTTATTTTAGTTTATTAAAACCCAGTGAAATAGTAAATGGGCGTCAATAGAAATATCACAGTAAAGCCACAACCCCTCAATATGAAGCATGCATGGTGTCATCTCTGCCAGAATATGTTTATGGCATTATACATATAATGATTCTGTCAGAACACCAATGGTGTCATTTCTGCCCGAATTTGTCTATGTCATTATACATGTAATGATTTTGCACAAAAATATTTGAACTCTCACCCGTATTTTTCTTCTTCTTTTTCTTTTTTTTCTTCTTTTTAGTTTGTTCCCCCTCAATTTGCTGTTCCGGCTGTTCTTTTTCCTCCCCCTCCTCAGGTTTGGAAAATTTATCCAGTTCAGAAGCCGGGTTATCAACCACTGCTGCCATCTTGTGACTTAAGTTTAGATTCTACTAACTATTGTCTGAAAAGAGTTGCGTAAAATCGAAGATTTTCAAAGAAGTGAAGTCGAATACAATGATAGAGAAATTAGATTTAAAGTTATTACAGGTAACCCTGGGACATGCCGGATATCAACCAAATATTAAAGTTGAAAAATTTACACTTTAAAAAAAATTTAAAATTAATTTATTCAACAAATTATCTTCTGGGCAGTCAAAGTCTTGAAGTATGATCAAAAGCTCTTCATTTGTTTATAAAAACAGAAAAACTTATTGAATACATATATCCCACATTCCAATTGCAGCGAAATCACATTAAAAATGCCTTGTCTCGAGTAAAAACGGTGTCTTTCTAGATCTCAATTTGTTAAACTTAATTTTTGAAATATCCATAATGTTCATATAAAGATGGTAAAGTTTTCACGTTAAAATCTCTTAAATCTAAATAAAACTGCTTTCAAATTTTTTGTGCACAGCTTAAAAAACTGTCAAAACTTAACAAGTCTCTACACATTTATTTAAAAACAATAAAAATGTTTTTGGTATATCTTCAATTTTTGCTGTAGTCCCGGACTTAACATATGTTAAAAACTGCTGTCGAATACGTCTTAACTGCGACAAAGTCAGATTTTGTGTTATGATATATTTATCTGTTGTCCCTGGCATTGTGACATAATCACCAATTATCATTGTCTTTTGTGATGTAAGAATAGTCGAAATCATATCTTGAGTCTGCTTACTAACTTCGTACAAAAAGTCAGTTTCCCGTAACGGTGGATTTTGTGTCGACATATTCGGTTTCGGTGTTTTCTGATGAAACAAAGCGTCGCAGATTTCTTTCCCTGGCAAAGTGTCTCCGACTTGAATTGTAAAAAGTGGCGAATCCCATCGATTTCTCGAGTCTGGGGGTTCGAATCTCATTATTAAAGCATCAATAATATCGTCGCTGTAACGTTCTTCTTCTGCTCTATTCTTGTTCCACTCTTTGGCTCCCTCAGGTGAAATATCTGTGTGGATAACACACTGTGGTGTTCGAGCGTACTTTGTGATGCAAAACAGTTCGTATCTGAAGCCTGTTTGAGAGAGAGAGAGAGATTTTATTTTACAAACAATGTCAACATTACGAAAAATATGAAGTGCAGAAAAAGAAAATAAATCAGTAATAATTAGTTATCATTATTTGTGGGTCACTATGCAAGACCAGTTAGGTCACCGAGGCTCCTGCTGTATATGAGAGATCAGTCAGATAAATCAAGAAAATAACCTTTTGTTACAAAAATTCAGTGTTAAGAAAACTTGTCAATTTTTTTTTAACAAATTTAAAAGGTTTTCAACTTTGACATGACTTAACACTAACTTTGTCGAGTGGAACTCGATTAAACTTTTTCAAAAATTCAAAGTGACTCGAATGGCATTCGAACTGAATGACGCAAACTCAGACTAGACCACCAGAGAACGTAAATGTTGCTCAATTTGACACCAACTTTACTATGTCAGACTTGAGGCAACTTTTTCAAGGACTCTGTTACTCGAATCATCTGAACCAAATGAACAATTTTCGGACTCAACTAACTGCCAGAGAGAAGAAATATACCTCAACTTGAGAGTTAAGATTAAAAACTTCAAAATTGCTGAGGCCGAATAGTTAAAAAGACTCCAGTAGTTGACACATCATTTCAAGTGTTACAAGCACGACTGGTGTCGCAACTCTTGATAACTCTACGCAAGCTTGAATCCCATGGATCATGTATGTGTGGGGAAAAATTGCTGGACTTCTTACCATCGAAGTGTGATTCATGTGGCTGCCGGTCAGTTGCAGCTTTTTCAACCACCAAGTTCATGCTTTCAAAAACAAATACCTGGCTAACTAATCCTATACCCAACATGGACTGGTAACAGAGGGTCCGAGGTAACAGAGGGTCGGAGGTTCGCCATATGATTAAGCCATCTTATTGGCTTTCCTCTCCCCCGGGATAAATTTGTAAATCCTATTCTAACCACACATGCTCTGAAGCTTGTCATGCTCAAATGTTGAATGTACCCATTTCTTTCCTCTCCCCTTGGTTAATAATGTAGGCCATATCCTAAGTGTGTCTCGGCTCCTAAACTTAAAGTGTGTCTCGGCTCCTAAACCTTGGTTGAAAGAGTTCAAATACAGCCAAAAATATCAAAGTAAAACATCGACTATAAGTCATTCCTACCTTTTATATAGTTTAATGAATCCAATATCACAACGTTTTCTTTCGTTAAATTCCGATCTACTTCAGACTTCAGCGACCCTCTAACAGATTTCTCATTTTTTGAATCAGAGTAAACAATATTCTTATCAATAGATAACTCCTTATCTCCAATACTGATAACTTCCCTAACAGGAAAGTTTTCTTGTAGATAAGAAACTAATTCCTGAGCTCTGGTTGATTTCCCACTGCTAGGGAATCCACATATTATAACTAAAGGCATGGTTTAGTTTTGAATAAGTCTAAATTATGAAAATAAAATAAATAACTAATCCCCTTTAGGAATAGTCATGAGTGAAATGAATAGTCTAGTCGCGACCCATAACTGGATTGCCTGAAAATTTTCTTGGGTCTATTGTTTTCCAACAAAAACTCAAAAGTTATAATTTCTTTCTTAATTTGGTATTGAAGTGTTGCTTAATGGTATCACAGCTCAATAACTTGACATCATCTGTTTTTCTTATGTCAGTACGGCACACTATACAAATTGGGTGATATTGTCCCGTTTCAGAAAAACCCATGTTACAGATGATCAGACACCCCTCCATTGGGAGACGTCTGGGACATTGCTGTCCCTCAATATCGGTAATAATACAGTATAATGAAGTTGCGCAAAATACTACAAAAAAGCGCAATCTACTAACGTCATCATTGAATGCCTCTGGAAAAAATAATCCGATTTACCGAAGGAAAAAAAAATTTATCGTGGCATTCGAGAGATTTTTGCAAAAAACGGCAATTTTGGATTATTATTGAGACAAGCATGGCGCAATATGAAGCATCTGACGTGGTCCCAGACACCCCTCGTTTGTGAGACACATGGAGTGTTTGTTTTATTGATCCAAATGGAGGAAATTCTTGGGATTTGGATAGTGTGCCGTACTGTATGTAGTCCATGCAGCTATGCCATGATTGTTTTATATTAGTAATTCAATTTTGTGGCCATTTGACATGCAATTTAGAAATTGAGCATATTCTTGGGTCGCGATTTTTACAATATTCATTTTTTTTTTATAATTTGGGTCGCTTTATAAGAAGGTTGGAAACCACTAGCCTAGTGTAACGTGTATTGGAACAATTTAATCAGAGAAATTTTATATCTATTCCAGGGAAGAGGAATAGTTATCGACTGGTTAATATGATTAACATAATTGTATTATTGGCTATATGCATTTTGTAAGAGGACGCTTCGGGAATGTGATGCATTTCTCGTAGATGCAGTGCGCAGGTTAGTCACGGTCCCCTCCATCATCACAACATAGAGTCCATGCATCTGGAATGAACCGGACACATATGAAATTCATATCTTATAGTCATCATTTTCAATATTGTGAAACCAGGGTTCCTGCACCATCAAGTTCATCTTTCCGAAAACGAGTACCGTAACTGGATAACTAATCCCATACCGCACCCCAAATCGAACGGAACCGGACGAGAGGCCGTGGTTCGCCATGTACCGGTTTCGCCATGTACCGTAAAACCGGCTAACTTCGGATGCCTTGTAACTTCGGATGAAATTTTCAATCATTCATATCTCAACTAAATTTCGTCGTATTGCGCTTCTGTCGGTTTCTATAGTAAGGCCTTACATATCTGAATCTGCCGTAGCCTCCAATCGCTCGATTTGATTTTTTATCATTCAAAAAATCATATTTTACCAAAAAAATGACACCGTTTTTTCGAGCGGCTCAAATCGTGACTTCTACAGACGCTACCTTCGTCAAATCACTGCCAAGCGCTAGAGAGCGTACACAATGTATACAAAAAAATACAGTGATCACAAGGTGTCGTACGAGATTCGAGTGAAATCGATTATTTTGATTTAAAAATTACATCAAAATATCGACTTTTTGATGATTACGTACAGCGTGACGTCAACGACGCAAATCCCGTTCTCTCTCTTCGTAGCCGACGTCACTTTGCGTAGCTCGTGCGTTACTCGCTGCGACATTTGAACGCCAGACATCGCGGCGCCCAGTTTTGTGAAATTTAAAAATTATGCTTATCCATGATCCTAGTCACTAAATCCTACAAAAACATCACTATCGTCTCAGTCATATGTTGTTTATTTAAAAATATGGGTATGCATACGCTTAATGCATATGAAATTTGTCGATTTTTGTTTTTGCATACTTCCTCCGACACCGATAGATACCGTAGCAATTGGTAATACGTTAGGCCTGAAACCTGTATCTATACGATCATAATGATTAGATATGTCTGTTTACGATCGGCAGATGATAATAATATCTTTAACAGGTGAGCGTAGAACTCTACATACATGCACACAGCAGGAGGTTGGACCACATACAGGTGAGGCGCAAAATGAAAAAAAGTGGCAAAGTTTCTTTTTGCCGTTTTTATCCGTTTATTGTCATTTGACTTTATTAAGTGAAACGAAAGCGAGGATCGAAAGTCACACCGGGCAGGAACCTCTGCCGAGCCGATCAACGGGGAGCTCTGAGAAAATCAGAAAATATGAAAAGTGATAATCAAGACGAAACCTGCTCTGCTTGTGGATTATGGAATGATCCAAATGGAAGTACGGAAATTGAGGATGAATGGGTCGGTTGCGAAAGCTGCAGCGAAACACATTGGTTCCACAAGAACTGTTGCAAAGACCCGTCTAACCCATGTGGAAATGATTACAATTCTTGATTTTGCCAGCGTTTCCTTCAATTCATCTGTTTATTTTTAACTGTCGAATTTTTGTTCATACCTTACTTGTTCCATATTGCTTTTTGATTTCAATTTTTACTTTTGCCAGTGTTTCATTCGATTCATCCGTTTATTTTTAATTGTCTAATTTTTGTTCATTCTTTACTTGTTCAATATTGCATTTCAATTTCAACCTACACCAGTGTTAGGTACTTTCAATTCTTCCGTTTTTTTTTTTTGTTAATCCTTTTCTTGCATTGAAAATGAACGATCATAAAAGAACGAACTAGCATTTTGCAATAAATTAGGAGTAGTTAGTGAAATATATACGAGTTATAATAATGGACACAGGAATAAATAGTTAAGCTTCGCGAAGCGGCAAGAGTAACGTCACGTACAAACGTCAGTATTCAACACGCAAGACAGGTCGTGGCGGCGTAAGGTCTATTCAGCGACGTTGTCACGCGTCATTGCTTACGCAGACATTTCTCTCTCACGACGAGTTGACGCAAAGAGAAAAGTGGCCATCCGAAGTTAGATAATTTTAGAATAGACGAATAAAGACAATAATTTCAATGAAAAAAGGCTTTGATGGATATGGAACCGACTTTATCAGGACGAGAATAGCCACAATGTATTATATTCCAAATTTGGCTTCAGTTGAACAACATGCGGCGGAGATATTGTTCAAAATATAGTGAAATCATCCGAAGTTAGCCGGTTTTACGGTACCGGTAGTTAAGCCGTCTTATCCCCTTTCCTATCCCTCCGTCCAAGATAGATATGTAAATCATATCCTAACAAACAATCATACAAGCTCTGAAGCTTGTCATGCTCAAATGTGCAGGAGTGCTTGGCTGGCTTGGTGCATTTCACCAACAGGACCAGTATTGATACCGGTACCGTACGCTACCGGTACCGCTGACAAAACCGGTAATACCGGTACTGTAATAATACAAATCTAAACATTTTTTACCAGTTAGCTACTCTGCAAGGAATATTAAAAGTTTGAATTCGACATGGCCGCGTTTCTTTTCTCCTACCACTACAAGGGGTACGGTACGGTACCGGTATCTAATTGAATTCCAGAGCCAATCCTGGAATCATTGAATGAAGGGGCTGATCATTTAGTGGACGGGGTGATACCTTTGAACTAGGCACCCCAAAAGAAGTCATGCCATACAAAATATGGAACGAGCCACAAAGAATACGGTACCTTTTTTTTTTTTTTTTTTTTTTGTGCCAAATAAATTCCAATGCCAAACGGAATTTTCGTATTAATATTTTGGTATCAAATCATTTTATTATAAATATATAAATAGATATTTTTTTGTTTCCATGTTTTTGTTTATCATTTTTTAATTTAATCCCATTCCCCCCAATACATATGAATAGTAAAAATCAAAATAAAGACAAAATTCATACCATTACCATGATGTCATTAATTTAATATAATCCAATATATGTCCAAAAAAGTTGAGTTAATCCACATGTAATCCACTCAGCAGTTAGTTGAATATAATTTTAATTTACAGGTAATCAGTTTTTATTTTAATTTTTTAGTTAGCATGAAAAATACAAGAATACAAAAATTAGACAGAGAATATGGAAAAATCCACGCTTTCATATTGGGTTTTTCCCATTCGCCATCTATGTTTCATAGTCGATACATCTTCCTCTTATGAAAATGATGTACAGATAACATACTTTCAATAATTTTCAGAGTATGGTGTTGCATATAAACTTACATCATGATTGACCTATGTAAAAGATCATCCATGTGCTCATATAACAATAATTCATTTCTTTCGCTTGCTTTTAGTAAATTTAAAATCCCTACCAGTTTACACTTGAAAATTGAACGCATACTACTTTTCATTTTATCTATTTCATCATATTTTACTGAATTTCGATATTCCCAAATTGTTGATTTTCCGCATAATACTATTACAAGACCTACGGTACACCTCTGTGAAGCTAGCAGCAAAACACGAAATTGTGACTGACAGAATCGCAGAAAATACCCACGCGTAAAATTAAATGTTCCCAATGATTTTTAAAAGAAAGTGTATATTTTCATTAGTCTCACAATAGCAATTAAAGCAAAACAATCATTACCTACACTCTTCGTATTGTTAATATATAGTAAACAAGCTAAAGCGACTGTTACAGTGCACAAAATTTTTTTATATTTCTTTGAGAGATGTTTAAAAATGACTGAATTTTCGTCGTGTAACATGGTCGTTTCATGAAAACCTCCAATAAAGGCAGCATTGCAACAACATTGGTGAAAAGTAGAAACCTCAAAGATTCGATTTCAATATGTCAGAACAGTCTCAGCACGTTTTGACTTGACCATATATAATACTAAACATAGCGTATATTCTTCAATTTTTAAAACAATGTATATACAACAAATTTGAAACTGATTTTGTATTTCAACTAAATTTACTGGATAGTTCATCAAAGAAGATATTTTTCTCTTTGTCACACAACAATAATGCACTTCATTAAACTTAGAATAAGTTGAGGAAAGTCTAAAATACCGAAAAAAAATTTACGCCCTCTTGTGGATTCTTTGATAAATTCCACAAAATTATCGTTTTTGAAAGGGCGATTTCTCAAAAACCGCCAATAAAGGCAGCACTACGACACATTCGAAGAAAAGCAGATACCCTATAGATTCGATTTTAATATGTCAGAACAGTAGCAGCACGTTTTAACTTGGCAATACATGATACCAAACATAATATATATTTTTCAATTTTATTAACTATGTAGATGTAACATATTTAAAAACGGTTTGGTATTTCAACTAAATTTACTGGATAATTCATCAAATACTTTCTTCTCTTTGGGTATACAACAAAAACTGTACGTTCATTAAACTTGGAATCAGTGTGCAAATCTTAAAATGCCAAAAAATGATTTGACGCCCTCTTGTGGATCCTTTTCGGAATTTCGAAAAATTATCGTTTTTGAAAAGGACGATTTCTCAAAAACCGCCAATAAAGGCAGCACCACGACACATTCGGAGTAAAGCAGATACCTTATAGATTTGATTTCATTATGTCAGAACAGTAGCAGCACGTTTTGACTTGGCCATATATATTACCAAACATAGCGTGTATTCAAAATGTTATAAACAATGCAGACGTAACATATTCAAAAAACGTTTGGTATTTCAACTAAATTTACTAGATAAATTATCAAACATCTTCTTTTCTTGTAAATACATATATACTGTACGTTCATTAAACTTGGAATAAGTTGCGGAAAGTATAAAATACTAAAAAGCATTTTACGTCCTTTTGTGGATTATTTTCAAAATTTCAAAAAATTATCGTTATTGAAATAGCGATTTCTCGAAAACCGCCAATAGAGGCAGCATTACGACACATTTGGAGAAAAGCAGATACCTTATAGATTCGATTTTATTATGTAAGAACAGTAGCAGCACGTTTTGACTTGGCCATATATAATACCAAACATAGCGTGTATTCAAACTTTTATAAACACTGCAGACTCAACATTATTTAAAAACGGTTTGGTATTTCAAAAAATTTCCTAGATAATTTATCAAACATCTTTTTCTCTTGGACATACATATATACTATACGTTCATTAAACTTGGAATAAGTTGCGGAAAGTATATATACCAAAAAGCATTTTACGTCCTCTTGTGGATTATTTTCAAAATTTCAAAAAATTATCATAATTGAATAGCGATTTCTCGAAAACCGCCAATAAAGGCAGCACTACGACACATTTGGAGAGAAGCAGATACCTTATAGATTCGAATTTTAATAAGTCAGAACAGTAGCAGCACGTTTTGAAGTTGGCCATATATATACCAAACATAGCGTATAATTTTTAATTTTATCAACTATGTAGATGTAACATATTTAAAAACGGTTATGTATTTCAACTTAATTACTGGATAATTCATCAAATCACTTTTCTCTCTTGGTCATACATCAAAACTGTATGTTCATTAAACTTGGAATAAGACCAGCGAATCCTAAAATAACAAAAAATGATTTGACGCCCTCTTGTGGATTTTTTTCGAAGTTTTAAAAAATATCGTTTTTGAAAGGGCGATTTCTCAAAAACCGCCAATAAAGGCAGCACTACGACACATTCGGAGTGAAGCAGATACCTTATAGATTTTGATTTCAATATGTCAGAACTGTAGCAGCACGTTTTGACTTTGGCCATATATATACCAAACATAGCGTGTATTCAAACTTTTATAAACAATGCAAGACGTAACATATTTAAAAACGGTTTGGTATTTCAAATAAATTTCCTAGATAATTTATCAAACATCTTTTTCTCTTGGACATACATATATACTGTACGTCATTGAACTTGGAATGAGTTGCGGAAAGTATGAAAAAAAAATCATGTTTCGCCTTCTTGTTGATTATTTTCAAATTTTCGAAAAACGTTTTTGAAATAGCGATTTCTCAAAAACCGCCAATAAAGGCAGCACTACGACACATTCGGAGAAAAGCAGATACCTTATAGATTCGATTTTATTATGTCAGAACAGTAGCAGCACGTTTTGACTTGGCCATATATAATACCAAACATAGCGTATAATTTTCAATTTTATCTATGTAGATGTAACATATTTAAAAACGGTTAGGTATTTCAACTTAATTTACTGGATAATTCATCAAACACTTTTTCTCTTGGTCATACATCAAACTGTATGTTCATTAAACTTGGAATAAGACGGCGAATCCTAAACAAAAAATGATTTGACGCCCTCTTGTGGATTTTTTCGAAGTTTTTAAAAAATATCGTTTTTGAAAGGGCGATTTTCAAAAAACGCCAATAAAGGCAGCACTACGACACATTCGGAGTGAAGCAGATACCTTATAGATTTGATTTATATGTCAGAACTGTAGCAGCACGTTTGCCTTGGCATATATATATACCAACATAGCGTGTATTCAAACCTTTTAAAACAATGCAGACTTAACATATTTAAAAGGTTTGGTATTTCAAATAAATTTCCTAGAATTTATCAACATCTTTTTTCTCTTGACATACATATATACTATACGTTCATTAAACTTGGAATAAGTTGCGGAAAGTATAAAATACCAAAGCATTTTACGTCTCTTGTGGATTATTTTCA